TCTCTGTTGATTATATCACGCCCCTGCCCGACTGCAAGCACTTTCAGTCTGTCTATAAACATATCCTGGTAATTGTGTGCCGTCTAACTAAGATGCGTCACTTCGTCGCCACACGAACCCTTAACGTTGATGAGCTTGCCGACGCGTTTGTAAGCAGAGTCTATGCGTTACACGGGGCCCCAGACAATATCGTCTCCGACCGGGGCCCTCAGTTTGTATCCGAATTCTGGAGACAGCTATCCAGACGACTTGGCATTTGCCTGAAGCATTCTTCGGCCTACCACCCCGAGACGGACGGTCAGACAGAGCGCATGAACTCAGGGGTAGAGCAGTACCTCCGCGCGTTTATGAGCTTCCACCAAAACGACTGGGTTGACTGGCTTCCGCTGGCTGAGTTTGCCGCGAATAATGCCACATCAGACACAACTAGCGTCTCGCCGTTCTTCGCTAACTATGGCTTTCACCCGCGCCTTGGCATAGAACCCGCAGATCCATGCCCGCCGAACCTCTCCATGGCACAGAGGAGAGGGTTCTATAAGGCTAACATTGTGGCCGAGCGATTCGAGCGGATCCTCGACCAGCTACGCGCCCTAGCCCATCAGCCTATAAACCGATACGAACGGAATGCCAATGAGTCCCGCACGGAGTCTCCTATATACCATGTCGGTCAGGAGGTATGGTTGAGTACCAAATACCTTAAGACCAACCGACCAATGAAGAAAGGAGATGACAAATGGACGGGACCTTATAAGATCCTTAGCGTGTACCCACGCGCATGTCGCCTCGAACTCCCCGACCGCATCCGCATATTTCCCGTGTTCCACAACTCACTGTTGCGACCAGTCTCCACAGACGAAGACGGGAACCGCATGGGGCTCCCTGGCCAGAGTGAGATTAATGAAAATGAGTCCCGGAACATCCGCGGCCGCATCCTCGAGCGGGACGACGAAACGGAAGAGGTGGTAGAGAAATGGCTATTTGATTCGATCCTTGACTGCCGTAATAAGGACGGCTTACAGTACCTCGTCAAGTGGAAACACCATGCCCCAAGCTGGCAACCAGCATCAGATCTGAAGGGACAGGACGACACACTCTTAGAATTCCACCGCGAGCATCCTGACAAGCCCGGCCCCCCTACCTGGGTGAAGAAGCCCCCAGCTCAACCAAGACGAAGCCTCCGCCTACGACGAGTACCACTCCCAACGGCCAAAGGAGTGTCCTTCGCAGCGACACAACTGGTGAAGCAGATCGGGGTCCATTTTCGGTAGCTTTGTTTCTGTCGCTGTGGTTTAGAACCATTCGAGGACGAATGGTGTTTAGAGGGGGGATACTGTCACAGCACCATCGCGACTTTGTCTAAGACACTCACGTGAGCACAGACCATTAGCGCACCATAAAGCGGTAGTCTAGATAGCTTCCTCTTCCATCCTCCTTAAGGCACAACTACGTTATTGCCCGCACCCTAGATTCGCCCCGTGATACTGGGATTTGATGATGGCTTTCTTGCGGATATCCGGGAAGTCGGTGTTCACGAAGACATCCATGACGCCCCAGTTGGTGTCGCTGCTGTCGCCCTGCATGTGAAAGCCGAGGGATTTGCGTACGGTGCTGTGCGCGCCATCACAGGCCTACAAGTTGTCAGATAGGATACCAGATACACTGGAAGACAGTTGACTTACCAGAACGTATTGTGCTCGATATACGTGAGACTTCCCATGCCTGTCCTCCGCGGCCACTTTCACATACGGCAGCTTCAATGATACTTGGACATCTTCCTCTGCCTCTTTGACAACAGTAACATCCCGGACCCGTCGCCCATATTCCACGTTGTTCTGGTTCCCGCTCAGCCGAACCACCTCGTCCATCATAATCTCGTTGACTCTTGCCTGGTTCAGGATGACATGAGGCTGGTGGCTGAGCCCAGGCTCTGTGTCTGGCCCAACATAATCTCGTTGGATGACACCTTGCTCACCCCCAACCTCGCCCTCCTTGCTACAAGCCGACCAAAAGGCAATCTCCATGACGTGGTACGATTCCTTGAGCAGGGCATCCGCGATGCCCAAGCTCTCAAAGATCTCGACAGTGCGACACTGCACGCCGTCTGCCTGTCCGATGCGCAGCGGCCCGTCTCTTGCTTCCAGCATCTTGAAGCGGATGCCGTACCGGGCGAGCCAAATGGCGGCGCAGAGGCCAGCCGAGCCGCTGCCGCAGATCAAGACGTCAAACTCCTCAGCCGTCATGTTATCGCAGTGTTCGTCTGTGAAATAGCTGGCGTTGTTGGCAATTCTGATAAGCTCGCACAAATTAGATGATGCCATGGACTGACTGCCTTAATTGATGCTGTGGAAATAAGCAACAGCTGGTTTGCCTTGCCTGGTAGCCGACTCACGTTGGAGTTGCTTGGCTGGCCTGTTGCCCAAACGGCCTGGGGTGGGGGCGGGCGGCATCATCCCGACTTCTCCGACGGGGGCGTCGGGACTCGGGATACCACCGATACGGTGTTGAGGTGTTGCGAGGCAGGCGGCAATGATGTGCCAACAATTCGTCCGTTGTCCCGTAGCAATGAATATGTAGACAGACATTTAAAGATGAGGGCAGCGCCGTTATTGAACGGCGCTGTTTTGCTGCTTATGAGCTTATCAGTAGTCTAGCGCGTTTGTATGCTTCATCATGGACTCCAAAACCACACCCAGCAAGAGCTACAGCCAATTCGCGTGCATCGGAACTGGCTTCTCGGCCATCTGCCTCGGCGCGACGCTGCAGCGATGGTACAACAACGGCGACATTGCCTTCTTTGAGAAACACAGCCAGCTAGGCGGCACCTGGTTCGCCAATACGTATCCAGGTTAACATTTCTTTTCCGTATTTTTTACCACGCTGGAAACCCGCTGACCACAGCATTAGGCTGCGCCTGCGATGTCCCCAGCGTCCTGTACAGCTACTCCTTCGAGCCCAACTCCAACTGGTCGCGCATCCTCCCCCCTCAGAGCGAACTCTGGGCATACCTCAAAGGCGTCTCCGACAAATACTCCCTGACTCCAAAGATGTCATTCAACACGACCGTCGTAAAATGCGAATGGCTCGACGACCTTAAGCGCTGGCGCCTGCACGTCCGCCACCAAGCTACAGACACGCTCTATCATCACGACTGCCAATTCCTCTTCGCCGCAGCCGGCCAGCTAGCTACCCCACGCGACATTGGCGTCCCCGGTGCTGAATCCTTCTCCGGGCCCATCTTCCACTCCTCCGAATGGCGACACGACGTCGACCTCGACGACAAAAACGTCATCGTCATCGGCAACGGCTGCACGGCCGCGCAGATCGTGCCCTCCATCGTCGACAAGACCAAGCATCTCACACAGATCGTCCGATCCAAGCACTGGATACAGCCTCCCATCGACGCATCTTTCCCGACGTTCCTCATGTACTTGTTCAAGATCCCCGGTGTCATGACGCTCTTACGCTTCATCGTCTATCTTCTGGCCGAGAACGAATTGCGCGGATTTCCGCTGACGAACGCCGCTGCCAACTTTCGAAAGAGGCGCCGTGCTCAAGCGGAGCGCTATATGACGTCGACAGCACCGGTGAAGTATCATGACATGCTGATACCGGATTTCGAAATCGGGTGTAAGAGGCGCATCTTTGACTCAGGCTACCTAAAGAGCCTGCACTCGGAGAAGCTGGAATTGACGAATGAGACGATCCTCGAGATTGTGCCTGACGGCGTGCGCACGAAAGGCAGGGCCATCAAAGCGGATGTGATTGTCTTGGCCAACGGCTACGCTACCAACAAGTTTCTGCAAAACATGGAAGTTGTTGGCAAAAGGGGCAACTTGACACAGCACTGGGATGAGTTTGGCGGCGCAGAGGCGTATAACTGCTCTGCGCTCAGCGGGTTTCCCAACTTCTTCATCCTCCTCGGTCCAAACGCTGCCACGGGACACACGTCGGCCATCATGGCGGCGGAAAACTCGGTCAACTACGCTCTGCGCATCATCCAGCCTGTTCTCAGTAACAAGACTGGCGTGGTCGAGCTAAAAAGACAGGCAGAAGAGCAGTACGTCAGCCAGATACAACATGATTTGTCTAAGACGGTGTGGAATTCGGGATGCCAGAGCTGGTACGTTCGGCCGACGGAAGACGGCGGCAAAACCTGGAATGCCATGAGCTATCCGTACTCGCAGGCGCATTACTGGTATCGGAGCGTGTTTGCCACATGGAGTGATTGGACTGTTCAAGCAGAGTAGTTCATTTTGAATAATACAATGAGCAATAGGATTGCTGTTGCGGCTGGTGATTTACATGGCCTGTGACTCTCTTGCTATTTGGCGGCCGTTGGTTCAACTTTACGAGGCTTGAGTCCGCCTGATGTATTTACGACAACAGTAGCATGAAAACCGGACTTTGCTTTCAGCTACAATAAAATAGATGACATTTTAAGTATGAGACCTCCTAGGAAAAGTTGAGAATTGGTAACATAGCTTATCTCAGTGCTCGTCTAGCTGCTCCCTAGCCTGCGCTGCGTCATCATTCTCCTCTAGCCCAAACTCCGGCTCACGCCTCATATCCTCCTCACCCTTGTCGTGCGGTAAGAAGGAATTCTCCAACGCGTGGGCTCTAAGCAGGACGGTCGCGTTATGGTTGAGCTCTGCAGGCCTGATTGGGGAACCCTCAGCAGTCTCTGCAAACTTGCTGTACTGCAGCAGGCCAGCATAAATACCCAGCTTTGGGGCGTACGGGAAATCGCTTCCAAAGACGATTCGTGACGATGATGCCGTGGCGAGAAGCGCCTTGAGCTGCGCCTCGCTGGTAGACAGCGCAATGTCGTACCAGAATCGGCCCATTGCAGCTCTCCTGTGACTCGTTAGCGTGAAAGGGGAAATTATACAAGTAGCGAAGGCCATACCCCTGAATAATGTTGGCTTTGGACTGCTCTGCAATAGTCGGGTTTATCAGCGCCCCGATCCCACGCTGAGCAAGAAACGGAAAAGCCCCCCCAGCATGGCTCAAGATGACCTCAATCTTCGAACAATATGTCATGACGCCCGACACGATCAACGACATAGCCGCCCTTGTCGTCGCCAGCGGATAATCAATCACCGGCTGTGGGAGGAACCCGCCAATCTTCTCCGGCGTGATCTTGACATGGCTCGGATGAACAAAGACAAGCGCCGCATGCTTGTTAAGTTCATCCCAGATCGGCCTGAACACTTCATCTCCCACAAGCTTGTCGCCGTACGACGTCATAACTACAACACCATTGGCCCTTTTCTCTGATTCAAATATCGCCTTGATCTCTGCGATTGTGCCTTCCGTGTCGTTGAAATCGGGTAGACTCGCAAAGAAGCCGAACCGGCCGGGCCGCTGCTGACAGACATCCCAGACTTCTTGGTTGAGAGCGCGCGCTAAGCGTCTGCCTTTTTCAGTTGGTCCAAGGAGGGCTGGACCAGGCGCCGTGACGGAGAGCACGGAGAAGGAGGACCCGATGGTGTCGCTGAAGCGGACACATTCTTCGAGAGTCCAATTGGGGGTGGCCCAGCCGGAGGGGTCGCCGCCGGCTTCGTCGAGGGCGGCCAGGTAGCTTGGAGTAAGCACGTGGATGCTGCGTCCACGTTAGCTTGAGATTAGAAATCTGTAGGGTGATTGTGTATACTGGGTGTCGATGCGAGATGTGTTCCCGCTGTGAGAGACACGATGGGTCATCGCGCCGGCAATCGATTCAAGGACTATGTTCTGGTTGTAAGTCAGTTGCTGCCATTGAACCACACGCTGTAAGTCGTGAGCATGGAGGGACAGCCCTTGCAATTACAGCGAGGTATACGAAGATACATGTAGACGACTTACAATGATGCTGAGCATTGGTCTTAGGAGTTTGCAGAGATGAGAGAATTGTATGGATCCTGCTAACAATCAAGGTTCATATATACTGTCACTCTCGTTTGATCCAGGTCGGATGGTGCGGAGTGCAGATCTTTCCCAAATTCGGACGGTTCGGGACGCTTCCGACAACAGGTGGATGCGCCAGAAGCAGCGCCGACCGCAGCTTATTATGAAGGGGAATAAAGCGGAACATGTTGCATGTTAGAGAGAGAGGTCTTTTTGCGACATGCCGCAAGTTTCAGCGTTTGGTATGCTAGAGAATCGTGTGGATATAGGCCGCTTTGCCTCGGTTGACAGACACATACGACCATAGCCATAAGAGAATTCGGGATCCCGTCCGCTCTCCCATAGACAAGCTTATGAGCGGCAGATTAGTAGTTGGGTCGGTGACGACCAGCGAACACCGGCTGTTGTATGTTTTTTCTTCTCTTTTTGCCACCCAAAGAGAGGGATTTTGGCCCTGGGCCTGGCAGGCCAAAGGGTGAATATGAATCGAGTTGTCCCTTGAGGCAGCTCCTGTATATTTTTTGCTGGGCTGACTGTCGGGCCGGGCGGCTACTCGTTGATGAGCTCCAGCCGTCGGTTTGTGCGATGTTCAGAATGTCGGAGAGTCCGGTGAAGTCCGATTGCCAGCAGTGACAGGCCACTAAGCCCTGTGACAGAGTTCCACGATGCAGGAGCGATGATACAGTCGCGCCCAAGTCGTCACCGCACTATCTCATGCGTCAAAGGTGGGGGGCCAACATCACTTCTCACGAACCTCAGCGCTAGGGGTCGAGAAATACCCCGTCTCGGGCTACCCACAGCGCATTCCCCTTTGGTCGAACCGATCGAAAGGTGTTGCGACCATAAAGCACATGCTTAGCCATCTGTGGGCTCTCCCAATTCAGGTCGGTACTCTGGTCCGCCCAGCATGTGGAGCCTCCTTGCTAACGCCTCGCAAGAACATGGCCTTCTGCCATGGCTGCCAATCAATGCCCAGCACTACACCAAGAAGCTGGAGTAATAAGCGGACTGTTGCGAGTCCAAACTCTTTCGCCATTGTCTCCAGGCTCTGTGGCCGTATATCACGGCCATCTTCAACACCTTGAAGAGCGCTGCCATTCGCAGTCCCTCGCCGCCCCCTCTCGCCTTCACCCTCACTTTTCGCGGCCTCGACAGGAAGAACAACGACTGATTTGGACGCACCAGATGGAATAGCGGGAGGCCTGAAGTACCTTTGCTCTGCGTCGAAAAGATTGCTCAAAGTGGGCGCCGTTCCATCATCCCGAGAGACGCCGCCACATTCCCTCTCCTTCTGCAGGGCCGCCACTTGGGGAGCTCTAGGCCATTGAGCGTGACGACCGATTCCGTGCGATGAAGTTTGGTCCTTTCGCGGCGTCTCGTGACTTGAACGCTGGTCCGTTTCAGCGGGGCAGTCGTCCGTGGGCTCCCGCCCATCCTTTACAGCAAAGAAATCCGCCGTTTGTGCATCTGGAATCTCGATCGGGACACCATTAATAAGGTTCTCCATCTCCATCTCTCTTTCCAGACCGTCGGCAAGATCGTCGAGTTGCACACCCCTCTCGCTGATGGATCCAACTCGGGTTGTGCAAATGTCTTCCGCATGGCCTGGGCGAGGTCCAAAATACTTCTTGAGTGTCCTTCCTAGTCTGCGACCCTTGTCTTTCATCCGGTCGGCAGCAAGATCGAGCTTTCCTCCAATTTTCACCTTCATGAGAAAAGGTTCGCCATCGTACTGGAAGGAGAATGCGGTGTAAAGGTTGCCGCCGGGTTGCGAACCCTTGTCGAACTTGTTCGCTGCCAACGTCCATTTCACACCCTGGTACAGTTTACCAGTCTTTCCTCTAACGAGAGAGCTGTTCAATGCCCATCGGCTGCAGCGCTCGACGGTCCTCTTCTTGTCTAACCCAACGCCCCCGATTCCACCACCCGGGAACTGGATAGACGCCGTTCCATTCGCGCTGGACTCGACCGTCAGTGTTCGTTTTTCGCCCGTGAGCTTCGTAGGGCCCCATGTTGCAACTTGAACGGGAATTTGGGGAGGTTTGGTGGAAGTCGATTCGGCGTAGTGCTGTCTGATGAAACCAGACTCTTGATCAAATGTGATCTCGATGGTGGCCTCTGACAGCGAGCAGTCGGGAGGTTGGGAAATATCCAGATTGAAGTAGATTATACCACCGGGTTGCTCGTCGACTCCAAAGCCGAAAACTCCCAACTTAGATTTCTTCAGGAGCAATCGGCAATCGACGTGGACGGCGCCGATGTTCTTCTCGGCAGCGCAGATGTACCACGGGGAGAGGTTGCGAAACCGATGGTAGTCGTCTCGACCGAAACCCCGCACCTTGCCGCCTGACCGATGTATTCTGCCTAGGTTTGGGGTCGCTGGAACTATGTCAAGCTCTGTATTGACATCCGCCATATCGTCTTGGGCTTTCCTTCGGTAGGCGATGTGAGGATAGTTGGACAATGTATTATGTAGCTGAAGCGTAAATGCGTCAGTACCGGAGCGAGCGATTCGATGCTGCAACGAGCAACACAGCCTCGCATGCAGACGTTGCGCATCAGTGTGCGACGGCTTACGGTGTTCCAATTGAGGCGGAAACTTTCGCGCCGACGTCCCTGGTGGACAATCCCTGGGTCAAGCCGGCCTGGCGGCGCAAGGTAGGTCCCAGATATCACCGCGTACCCTGGAAGAAGACTAATGGACGACGCACACGAGCTGGCGCTTCAGCACCTCCAAGACGCACCTTCCCTGCTCCAACAGCGAAAAGCGCTCCTTGCTCAACATTGCATCCCACTTCTTGGTCCAATCGGACATCTGCTGGGCATGCATGTTCATGTAGTCAACCGAACGGGGTTTTCAGCTCTCAGCTATCCCTGCAAATGTGAGCCAATTGTTTTAGGTCGTTTCTGACTTTCTCGCAGGTTGAGAGAACAGGCTGGGAGCACACAGTGCCGCTCTGGTCCTGTTCGCTTCGTGTCACTGTACATGATGTGGACTCCACAGAATTGTGCATGTCGGAATAAAACTCGTGCTTGTCTGTGAGAATCGAATGCGAAGATAACACTGCGCCTATCCACAAAACTGCTATTAGTCTTTGCGTGAGGCTAGCCACTTTGGCTGAGGCAACTGGTATCGTGTCTCTGGTGGGCGGGCACTCAAGCCACTGTGCCATGTTGATGTATGTACTTGGGGGCCAGGCGGCCCGACTGCTAGCCTGCGCTATGACGCGACACTCATGCAGGAGATAGAACATGGAAGGAGCTCGACGGTGGCGTAACTGGATCACTAAGTCGACAGACCAGGCATTCTCGCAGATCTGAAATCGTTACCATGCCCCAGCCGCTCTTCTGGCACCTGTCAATTTTCCCAAGGCACACATGAGATGAGAGCATTTCCTCATTACAGATAATATACTTCAACACCTGGCAGTTGTGCCGCTTTATCTGCCAATTCGTTACCCCCGCGGCAACTGTTCGTCTCACGCAGTCTTGACTATACCTGACTGTGTCCAGTACGACTAGAGCAGGTTGATCTCGGCTTCAATGAAAGACAGTGCCTCATTCACCACATCTTAGAGCTCTTGTTTGGAACATTGATGTTCTATTCGTCGTCGCCCCAAGGTCAAGGCAGGTACCTAGCGTTCTAGTGGGCCAGGCTACGTACAGTCTTCTGACACGACGACCCAAGCACGGCGTCAAGTCTCGCCGCCTCTGGGGCAGGCAGCGTTGAGGAGCATTATACGATTCCTCCGCTTGATATCAGCCTCCCGTGCTCGATTGACAGTGCATGGGCCCCCGCTAGAAAGGACGCATCATTGAAAGCGGTAATCGCATGGCCTGAATTGGCACTTGGTCTGACGGGATGGACCGCTATGATGATGTCGGCGACGTCAACATCCAGCTGCGAAGGCACGAGCAATCGCCTCGCCCCATCCGCTATGTGGAACTGCCGCCTAGGCCCCATACCTACGATGAGCCCCGATATCTCGTCCCAGAGCAGCGTACCACCGTCGTAGAACGCCGCCCGTCAGCCCGTTCACGCTCTCGTTCTCCAGACCATCTACGATACAAAGCCACCAATCCAGCACCCCCGCCTCGCCCTCTTGTCGTTAACAACCGCTTCTACAATGAGTATTCATCTGATGATGACTACGACCGTCACGACCGCACGCGTATCGTTCGCCGCCAGCGAAGTATCGAAGTCGCACAGGACCAATTTCGTGCTCGCAACAAACGAAGGACCAATGAGGAGCCTGCATTTCAAACCTGCTTCAACGCAGACTGCCCCCAGGACATCACGGCCCACGTTGACCTTCCAATATCTGATGACATTGGCGAAGAACTCGAAACCTTCTCCCGCTTGGTGCGGATTGGCGACTTCAAAGCCGCCAAAAGCTACTTCGAAGATAATCTTGCAGACTACCAAGATCAACCTTACGTCTTTATCCAGTACGCCGAGATGCTACTAGAAATGTCAGATTACGAGTCATTCGAAGCCCTCAACCCTCATTCAGTGTTCGGCCAGTCCTCTCGACGGTCTCGAGATGAGACTCGGGAGCATTCCAGCCGTACAGCGTTCAAAAAACGGGAGTCGCATCATCAGCGACGGCGCCGTTCATTACGGAAACTTGACGCTATCGAATTGGACCAGATCAACGTGCTCCGACTGAACTGGGATTTGCTGGAGACAACATACTTGATATCCCGAGAAGGCACAATCCATCAGGCTATCGACGTGGCGAAAGAGGCGTTGCAAACCGTGGACCTGGAAGCGGGCGCTGGGTCTACAGAGGTAAGGATATGAATCGACACATCTCCGGGTCGAACGTGGTGTTTTGACTTTGACTTCCCAGATTAGAATATTTACTCTTGCCTCGCAAATTATGGGCGAAGCTAGAGCGTGGAACGTTGGCCCTCGGCTGGCTCAGCGAGAGCTCCCGGACATTCCAGAAGTTTACAACACGCTTTTATCTCAGGGGCGTATCTGGGATTTTCGTGACTTCTTCTTGGCTCTCCTCCCATGGTTTGACTTCAGCATAGCGTCTGTCATGGAGGAAATCTTCGACACTCCTGGCTATAGCCGGCGCCTCCTTGATGATTGGATCAACGACATGAACGATGTGGATGAAGCCACCACCCTCGCCCTGCTGGACCTTATTGTTTCTGTTCTTTACAGGAACCTTCGTACCTCATCGAAGCTCGAAATGCTGGAACAGTGGACGAGTGACGCTCATTATCTGGCCCATAACCTAAGGAGCAACCATGCCGGCTGCATGAAGAGCCGAACCTTTGCAAGGTGGATACTGGTTGAAGCGGCCAACTTGGTTTCCAATGAATTCGGAGGTTTTGAAAGTGCAATCAGAAAGACTCACTCTTCTGCCCCGGGGTTTACATTCGCATGGGGAATAGGCGTCCCAGTCTATGTTCCGGCTGCCACTGAAAACCCCTGTTGGCAGATGCCAGGAGTGCCCTCAGAACGGAAGGAACCAATCATTATGGCGGCAAGGTTGGCAAAGGAGTTGCAGGACCATCAGACTGAAGAGCTCTGCCTGGAACTGCTGATCATAGTCTCCGAGGATCCGGCCGTGCACTTCGAGCAACTTTCCCATCTACAAAATTCCGTTCAACGAAACCGACTGGGCTTCCTGTGGACTTGCTTGTCGAGATATCTCATTTCCAGAGATACTGCGACAAAGCGCCAGCTGCTCGAAGACTTGAACAGTTTTCCCGATTGGGTCGATCGAGGTGCTTTATTTGATCCACCAGCCTGCTTTGCTCGAGACTTTATCCGGGGAGCTCTCTCGAGTCAGCTGAACCACCATGGACACCGAGAATATCCCAAGGAGTCTTTTACAAAGTCCATCCAGATCTACGGCAAGTTTCTCCCGGCTGAGATGAGCCAGTTTGTAAGCAGCTTGACGGGACTGGCCTGGAAACACGCCTGGAACGTAGGAGACTTCGCTCATGAGCGTCAAAACAATGGAAACAGCAGAGAACAACAAATATATCAGACACGGCTGTCGGAACCAGTCGGCAGAGCCATATCCGAGCGTCGCACACAGAGCCGCGAGCGTACTGGCCTGATACTCCAAGGAAAGGCCAGCTTGCATGACAGCTCGAAGAGGGATGGTCAGGGAAGGGAATTTGCTCGAAACAAGACCGGAGACATGGCAAATACACGCACCACTGAGCGTCGTGATGCAGCCGGTGAGTAAGCATCTCGGTGCGCGCTGTGAGTTAGTTTCAATGCCGTTGGGCCACCATGGAAATGAGGCTAGTTCTAAAGTAGGAACAGGAACTCGATCAGATGCCGCCGCTCCAGCACGCAAGGCCTCTTCAAAGCTCGGTCCCTCGAAGGAATCACCATGTTTAGATGTAGTGCCATATACCGGAGGGTATCATCCCGTCTGGTACCATTTGCGAAGCCAAGCCGAAGCACCACGTCATTTCCCACACAGTTCAAGCGCAGATCAATTCGCTGCCTCGTCCACGGGCGGCGGTTTGCCCGGGGCACAGGGCCGACTAAACGTCTCGAATACCCAGGAGAACGACCTGGCAGGGGTCGCAGAAAAGAGAGAGAAGCCCACGAGAAGTATGTTCGCCCATGACACATTAGATGACCGTAACGCAGTGTGTTAATGCTTGCGTAGAGATGACTGTCACCGACGTGCCAGACGAAGGGGAGGGATAGTTGAGCTTAGAGATCAAAGACCTCATTGTTAGATCCGGACTGCGATATGATATACTTTTTAAGCCCCACCCAAGCTCTTTGACAACAAGACATGTTGCAATGCTATGTCGGGCTCGGGAGCATCCGACTTTTGATCTTTCATTCCCGCCAAACCACCTCCATAACAACCATGAAACTCAGCGGGTCGGCTTTGACCCTAGTTACCTCAAATCGTGGATCAGCGGCCGCGAAGACGCCCTTCCACTCATCCACGGCGCGTTCTCTGGCGTTGAAGAGCGCCATCATGCGTATATCCGTGGCCGTGCCCATGGCCTTGATCGATCGTGGAAGCGCTACCACATCTTCAGACTTGCCATCCTTGCTCCCTTCCTGTTTGCCGACGTAGTCGATGAACAGCACTTTGGAGCCTGGTCGCATTGCTGGCACCAATCCTCGAAGAATTTTGATGGACTCGGCCTCGGGCCAGTCGTGCAGAATGAGCTTCAGGAGATAGACATCGGCTTGGAGCGGTTGTGGGTTAAAGAAGGTGTGTTCCTGGAACTGGACGCGGCATTTGAGCTCATCGGGCACGTTGGCTTCGAATGCTGGCTTGACCTCGCCGAGATCTTGTACAGTAATGTTGAGGTCCGGGAAGTTCTCCGCCAGGACGACAGCGTCGTGACCGCCCGAGCCGCCGATCTAGGTTTGTTAGCGAGTGGACCGACTTGACACCGACTCATTTCCTTGCCGAGCAGGCGGGATGGGGCAACAAACATCAACGACGGAGATCTTGCCTGCTGCTTTCCAGTCGTAGCACTCGAGCATCACCTTCTCCAGCTGGAAGATATCCTTCAGGTAGCGCATAAACTCGACAAAGTTCCTCTGTCGCCACCCTTTACGTTCGCCTTCACCGTCGTTCTCGAGCAGCTCCCAAGACGTGGCGTAACGGCCGAACACGCCGCTCCGGTGGAAAAGCGCAAACGCCGTCTCGTTCATGTCTGTCGTCAATTGGCCCTTACCAAGGCTGTACTCACGAAGCGCCTGGGGCACAAGCGTCATGGGCGGGCCTGCGTCGTCGAGCAGCGTCGAAACGAGCGCGCGCAAGCCACTGTTCTTGGCCAACGCCGCGGATCGCGAGGTGTGTTGTATACGAGTCTCTGGGTCCGCGCCACCATTAGGGGCGGTCGCTGTCACGGTCGTAAAGAAGCGCAACGTAGTTCCATGGTCGATGACACGACGTACGACTTCAACGGGAAGGGCTGTGTGCGCTGCAATGTCGTCGTACGAGGCTGATCCATCGAGTGGCACAGCGGCCCAGAAATCGAAGTGGTTGAGGATGTTGAGAGTAGCAGCGTCAGGCATGCTCTGCGTTGGTCAGCGGCCTCGCGTTCATTGATGCAGCGAAAGGCGTGCGTTGAGATCCTACCGTGTGCACGTAATTGAAGATGCTTTCGCTTGGCCCCTGCGTCAGATAGATCAAGTCCATGAGCGAGTCAAACAGCGCTTGTCGCAGCATGAAGCTCTCTGCCGTCAACCCAGTATAGCTCGTCGGGCTATCCGCCGCAAAGGTTGGCTCGGGAATCTCATTGTCTTTGAGGAATGTGGAGAATTTGGCGGTCAGATCCGAGATCTTGGCCGCGAGGACGTTGAGCGTAGGTGCCTCCTTTGGTTGAGCCATGGCCTTCGCGTACTTGCAGATGGTTCTCAAAACAGGATTGGATCTGATAATCAGGGTCGGTTCAGGAACGAAAGTGAAGAGGATCGCAACGGGAATCGGCCAGAAGCCGGGCAACCATAGTGACGTTGCATCCCTTATAAACGAGCGCAGCAAGTGAGTGCCCGTGGCCTCGCCACTGTGGTACCCGATTGGCGACCGGTTCGCTGCAGCTAAAGGTCCGATACCCAACTTAGCAGCTGACGTTATGATCCAGCAGTCTCCGAAAGGAGCCAGCGGACCCGAAGAGTGCCCGTCACCGGCGTCTGGTTGGACATATCTTATCAATCTGATAATTTGATCCGCTACGAATGCGCTCATACCCCGCCTCGCTCCGAGGTTTGCCCCTTTGCCCCGCCATCTAAGCTTGGGTGTCGATGATCAGCGTTGCGCGCAAGGCGGGTCGCGCGCGGGGGTCGCGTTCTCATTGTGGTCATGCCATGGCGCCGTAGAACTGCGTACCTCCTGCGCCGAAGGCTGTCCAAACTCGGTATTTGGTATTATTATGCAGTACACGCGCTCAGAAACATACTGAAGGCGTGACTCAGTAGACGCCAATTGCACCCTTCAGTCGTGTTCTGGAATCTGGAGCATTTGAACGTAAGATGTGTACCCCACGCGCGGGCGGCACGGCAGTGGCTTCCCCTCTTGCCAGGATTCCCAGGAACCAGAGCGCCAAGAGACGGCGTGTCTTGCGGTATTTTCGGTAGTCCGTCATGCCACCTGTGCCGCGGCCACCCACGTAATCGCCAAGCCAGTATGGGCGCAGGAGTAGCCAGATCAGCGTCAAGACCCTAGTCACACGGGTTGCAAAATGGGCATGATGGTGCTAAGCAGCCAACATGAGCAAATCCGGAGCCAGTCGCGAGGCAGATTGACCGGCTGGTGGATTAAGGTTCAAAAGAAGCTTGACGTTGCGTAGCCAGTGGGAAGCGTGAATCTGCCTGAATCGTGGGATGAGATCATCGCGGCCATGAAGCGGCAACTTGCCGGGAAACAAAACCGCTACAAGAAGTTGCGATATGCCCGGTCGGTTGCCGGTGGCCAGCCGAATGCTGCATATAGGGGTAGTCTCAGGTCCGGTTCCGCTTACGTTGGCGGCGGTTCAAGCATCCCCTGCTCTATGGACATAACTACATATTGGTCTTCTCAAAAATGGTGGTTCCCTCGCTCGCCCCGCCCATCCGGCTGGTCCATTTGATCTCGAGTCCTACAACCTCGCCCCGAGCACCCGTGAGAACCTTTCCCGGATGGAACTCATTCATAAAGGTCGGGTTCCGCGGCGTCTTTACATATACCACCCAGTCATTTCCGGACACATGGTGGAGCTGAAACTGGTACCTCCAGGTCATATTGTCCCGGTCCGCGACAAGGATTGTCTCATCTAAGTTCTCAGGGTGGGTTTCCTCACGAAGAGAAAACCCGCCGTATCCTGCGTCATGATAAGTGCCCGTGAGCTCGCTTGTCTTGATCGACGACGGCTCCGGTGGTTCGGGGTGATCTGGGAAAAGCCGACGCTTCGTGTCCTTGACATCACCTGTCATGTGCTCTATCATGAACGTCCACCTGAGCTCAATGTCAGAGACGCAGGTCCTGAGGCCAGGGTGCTCAAGAACGGAGTCAGTCTACTTACTTTGTTCCAAAGTCGAACCTCTGACTGTCAGGAATCCCGAGCTTCTCATCGATCAACCGGAATATGACCTCCTCGCCAGCAGCGTTAGAAGTCATTGCCGTATTCGCAAACGCAACGGCCCCGAATCGCACGTCGGGAAGCCAGAAGATTTGAGCGCCTGCCGCGTCCAGGCCTCCGGCATGAGTGTATAAGACGTGGCCTTGGTACATGGTGCGCACCCATCCAAGAGCGTAGAGCGAGATGTCGACGCCTGCCATCGGCTCAGTCGTCCCTATCATCCTGGGCGCCTTAATGTCCTTGTGCACTGCTGGCGACAACGGTTCAGCCCGGTGCAGGAGGCATTTGATCCACTTGGCGTAGTCAGAGGCCGTGGAGATGATGGCGCCCGCGGCGCCCAACTCTCCTACGTCCACGCGAGGCACTTGGCAGTACTTTTCTGCGGCTTTATCCCAGTAGTACCCCGATGCCACTTTGTGAGCGGACTTCTCTGCGTTGTCTGCGTCCAAGTATGTCGAGGTCATGCCGAGGGGGCCCCAGATCTTTTCTCGGCACAGATCATCAAGCGTTCTGCCTGTTGCTGTCTCGATGGCGTATCCCAAAGCCACATACATTGTATTGCAATAGGAAAAGGACACTCTGGGCTCTGATGCCAGTCGCAAGTTTCGCAAGTTGCGAGTTATATCCTTGGGCGAGGTTTTCTGTCCATTGATCGTGCCCGACGACGCCTTGTCGTGCCGAGGGAGGCCAGTGCGATGGCAGATGACGTCTTCAAGAGTAATATGGTCCGTCGCCCATTCATCTTGCAGAATAAAGTCATTCGCGATGAGTGAAGACATAGTTGTCGCCCAGCCATTGCTCAATGAGGGAAACTTCTTGTCATCGATAATGATGGCCAATGCGGCTGCGACGTGCGCCTTCGCTGTCGAACCCCCCAACCACAGGGTATCCGGAGTGGCTGGTGTGTCTGGCAACGTCGCGTAGCCATACCCCTATATCGCACTGTGTAAGTGATTGAACGAGACACTGGAAATGTGAGGCATACTGCGGCGTATGTGTCCTCGCCGTCGACAACAGCAAGGGACATGCCTGGGACTTTCCATTTGTTCATGATCCGGTGAACATACTCGCTGAATGTATCTGTCAAGGGGCCATTGGTCGACGTTTGGCTGCTTGGCGCCGTCTCTGGTGCGGTGGTCGCCATGTCTGCTGATGGACGTGGTGCGTGGGGTCGGCGACACACATGCACTGAACCTCTTAGTTGAGAGCGAGGCTGCTCATGTTGCACTACCAGGCGTCGGCCCGTTGAGCCCTTATACATTTACCATGAATCGAGTGGCTAAATGGTATTTTTCATGCTAAAGTCTTTGCGATTTGCTCCGCCTTACTTTGTTGGAGCATTGGTCTGGTGTGGAAGCGGTCATGCATAGAGTCGCGAATCAGCTCGGCCAGTGACTCACCGCCGGTGGTCGTATTCCCGTATTTATCGCATCAAGCCTGGCGGTCGAAATGAGTATAATTCAATTCAACGAGTACCTTTAACAACTTGCGAAAGTTGACAACTCATTCTTTACCTTGTTTTTATACGCTGTTTCACACTGAACATGTCTCAGGCAGGCGCACATGTGCACGGCTTGAGATCTCCACCTCCAGCTGACGGGCAAAGGACCAGACACTGAGCACGAAGATAAAGGTCCATCTTGCCCGCTTTTCAAATGCTCTCGTCTCTTCTATGTTATGTAGCCAAGCCGAGCAAATAGACTGAAGAAACAAACTGAATCTCCTTTTTTGGTGCATTTTCCTGGTCAAAGTTCGTGCATATTTGGGGGGCCAGAGCCACCCTACACCCACAGCAACGACGTGAAAAATATTTCAGGCATTCGGTTTCTGAGTTCGTATTTATATTTACGGTAGGCTGTTTGACTTTGTATCTTTCAGTAGCTCCATTCAGGTATTCTAATTCCAAGCGTATTCCTCTTGGTTGCAGTATGCCTGCTGCCCTTGCATTCGATACTCATTGCGTGCTAGAGCTCCAGGGACTCAATCAACCTTTAGCAATTGATTGACAAATAATTACTTGGGAGCATTTTTTGGCAAGGCGTTTTATGAAGTACATCGATGTACTTAAGCAACCCTCTTTGGCGTCTTGTAGGATCTGTTAGGCGCCTTCATATTTTGCTTCATGGAAATACCCATCAGTCATGAAGGTGTTCGAACGCTTAGTTGATGAGCTCCGAGCAATCCACAGAACGCTTCGGGACTTGTTGTCGAGTGAGCACTACGTACTACAGCCACGGTGAACGCACGGCAGTGCATAATACAGTGGAGTAATATGTCCTGCTAACTGCCCCTTTCACAGGGTCCAGGGACGTCAAGATGTCAGCGATCGACGATTGCCACCGGACTCCACTGCCGTTTGTCGCGTCTCCAACCTGTTCATTTCCGTGCTTATGCCGATGCGTTCTAGACTGCCAGAGAAGCAAAGAAACATGCAGTTGACTGCCGATTTGTTAATGCCACCATGATCTGAGACGATGCTGAAACGTGCGATGAGCCGACTTCTTGTCAGCCCGTCGACAGGGAGCTCCGCCACGACCCAGTAAAGGCTCTCATCTGGTTGGGAGAAATGCACAACAGGCCATGGAAACTGTACACGGCAATGTGCACATCACCTTGAGAGAACGCGGCTGGCGGAGTCACGGTACTCCTGTGATCTCGCCTCCGTGAATTTCGCCCCCTTGGCCAGGCGCCCGACTCAAGAGCCATCGAGGTTCTCAACTGCCTCATGAGGATCAATGTTTGAGAATCTTTCACACGAACCCCGAATGACTCAAATGCAGTCCCAGCCACCGGTTCATGAAGGAAGAAAGCGCACGCGAGCGTCATCGCCAAGAGTCGAGCGGGAGTTGTACCCACAAGACGAAACTGGACAAGACGCGTATCTTGGGACAAAACAGAAGGTGTGGTTGGGTTAATATCAAAAGATCTTGTTCGCAACAATCCGTCTCAATATCGGGAATGGTGCGCTGGCTAGGGTGTGTCTGTGCGGCGAGGTGTTGCCTCCGTCGGGCGCAGCCGATGCACGAGTGTCGATGACGTCGATCCGAGAGGGACGTTCCCGCCCATTCCGGATGCTCCTGAGCTCAAACCGCGTGTTATAGCGCCTTATCTCTGGTGTTTAAGGCATGCGTGCTTTGATCAACAGCCGCCGAGAAGGGCAAGTGGTTGTGGCTGATGGCCGATAGAGGCGAACGCGCAGCTGTGCCTGTTACTCACCCGTCCATGATCGCCGGCTTGGCCGTCGAGCGTACATCTGCACGCTTCTTGCGTGACGTGCGGAGTGCATGGCCGCCACTGCTCGGGGCCGAGAGAGGCAAGGAGCTGCGGCCGAAGCGGTCTGGTGGAGGAGGGACGATGCAGCCCCTACAGGAGGAGGAGACGGCGCGTGTAAGCGATCAACGACCCGAAGTCCCAGATTAAGGAGCTCGGTCAAGTGCCTTCGTTGCGCGGTCGTTGAGGGTACAGTGCTAAAGCACTTTACACATTATACTAAATTTAACCATGTCAAACAACCTCAATTCGTACCCGCCCGGCCGGGCAAGGGTTCGCAAGCGAGGCCGAGGGGACTGGTGCGGCGAGAACATGTGGAAAAGGCAGCTGGGCCATCGCGCTTGCATGGAAGCGAAGAGGAGGCGCGGTCGATCAGCGCTTGGCTCCCGGGCTGGCTGCCTTACAGAGTGATGTGGCTGAGCGGGTCTGTAAACAAAGGTCCTTGCCGAGCGGCCATCCGTCACAGCAAGTCCCTAGCCTCACCAGTGCCGGTTGCTGAATTACGGGGTGCATCGTGGGCTGATGCGGGCTGCGCGATACGGCATGTCCGCGAGCAGGAGCCAGGACAGGCACGCCCGCCATGTACGTCAGGAGGCCGCTATCCAAAACGGTGACGTTGTCGCTGTCATCAGCTGGGCCGGGCATGAGGTGAGTCTCACAGCGGGAGTTTGCCGGCACCTGCTGGACAGAGCGAGCACAGACTTGTTTCTCGGCCGGCTTCCTCCTTTCGGGGTCGGTCGGGCCAGCCGGGCGCGGTGGACGGAAGGCCCGATTATTGGCAGCGCAGGCGCAGAGGCAAAAGCCGTGGGCCATGTCCGGGGAGTGAAGATGCGGCTGCTGTATGGATTCCTTCAGCGATCCGGCAATCAAACCACAGTCAGTGTGTGTGTGCCATCGTCGGTCCGTGACTGGAGGCAGTTCAACAGGGTTGTCTGATATGTCCAAGGCCTGTGATGTAGGCAAAGGGCGCTGTTCTCGTATGTACGGTGGCACCCCCTCGGGCAGGGATTCCCCTCCACCGAGTTACACTTCAGAGCCGCAGCGCGAGGACGGCGCCGGTGAACTTGAGACGGAGCCGAGCGCGCCATCCCGAACCAAGAGGGCAACACGGCCGAATCAGATGACGGAGGTGCCGCCCCCCACACGGCCTTCTCCACCCAACGTGATCCGCCGTAGCCAAGCTTGCGGGTTGTTGGAGAAGCCTCCGAGACGGCTTGGCGGCGTGGTTGGCAGAGGAGTTGGAGAAGGGGGGCGGCGTGCGACCGGGATCGTGCACAAGTCAGGCACCAGACGACACACACATGTTCGCTCTCTGCGTTGCCGCCTGCTTCGTTGTTTGGTGTTCCTTCAGCTCCGTCTGACTGTGACTTGCTTCCTTCGGCAAATGATTTGCCCCCCAGTGTTCCTGCAATGCCGCTTCGCGTTGCAGCAATGGAGACTCGCCACGACCTCCCGGCATGCTGGCCTTGATTCTGTCGGCGATTGCTCCGCGGTTGCACCCCTGGCCCTGGACTGCACTGCGGAACACTCCTGGAAGGTTTCACCCCTTCCTGCACGCATGATGGCCCAGCGCCAAGTGAACGCCTGGGGGGCTCGGCACCGGGTGCTGTCGTCTGATGGCAGGCCCCGGATTTCCACTGTCGCTGTCGCTGTCACGGAAGAGCCGACAAGGACCCTCACCTGGTAAGGTACTGATAGTAATGGCCCGTCCTCGGCAGTGCGCTTTGACAGCGGATTAGACTCAAATAGCCTTTCGGCCGCGGCGACTACCAACGAATCGTCACCTCCACCCGCGCGCGTGCGCCGTGCCAACACCAGCTCCGCGAGGCTTCCCTATTGCGCACGTCGGCCGAGGGGCGGCGGCAGCATCCACACTGCGTATCGCGCACAGCAATCAGCATTCAGAAGTTCCTGCACCTACGCTCGTTTAGGGAGGTAGAGGGTGCGGCTGCACCAGATGGCAGATCCCCCCAGGGTCGCGCCAGATTCGCCAGATCGACGCCCAATCGCCCCGTTTCAGGGAGGCGACGACGCCTCGCGATCGGCACTCACATGAGATGGAGCCCGGCGACCTACTGGATAGGGGCCACATGAGACGCTGATCGCTCACTCGCTCGCTGTGCTGGCGCTCGCCGGCGCACTTGACTGCCATGCACGCACCCTGGACAGCAGAGTTTCGACCAAATGGAGACTGCGAAGCTCATCCCGGGACTCGAATACTGGAGCAGGTGGACAATGGAGATCACGACATCGGGTCTGGCTCCGACGCTGGGCTCGGGACGGCGGCGATATCCTCTCGGGGGGATAAATAGATCTCGTCGCCCCGATGAGATAGCCTCCTTTCGATACTGCACCTCAGCCTCAACAGCCTCCTCAGCCTTGACTTGACCTGACTTGGCCCTCGCGCAACATCAGTCTCTTCACCAACATCAGTCTTTATTCCATCGCTATAAACCGCCAACATGCGCGCCTCCACGCTCCTTGCTATCCTCCCCCTCGCCTGCGCCGCTCCCTCCAAGCGCGCCTCGCCCGCTCCCGTCCTCGTCCCGCGCAACGCCCAGGTCATCGAGGGCAAGTACATCGTCAAGTTCAAGGGCGACGCCAAGACCGATGCCGTCTCCGCCGCTGTCTCGAGCATCACTGCCGATGCCGACTACACCTACTCCCACTCCTTCCACGGCTTTGCCGCCAGCCTGAGCAAGGCCGAGGTTGAGAAGCTGCAGAACAACCCCCAGGTTTGTCCACCTCAGCCATCGAATGCCCGTGGCCGCAAATGCTGATACCCTACCAGGTTGAGTTCCTCGAGCAGGACGCTGTCGTCACCATCTCTGCTACTCAGGAGAACGCCGACTGGGGTCTGGCCCGTCTCTCCAGCCAGAAGCCTGGCGGCACCACCTACACCTACGACGACTCGGCTGGCGAGGGCACCTGCGCCTACATCATCGACACTGGCGTCGATGTCGAGCACCCTGTACGTTTCTCTTCCACTTGGCGTGGCTAGATCGACTGAGACTAACACCTCCGTAGGAGTTCGAGGGCCGTGCCAAGTTCCTGGCCAACTACGTCGACAAGGACAACACCGACGGCAACGGCCACGGCACCCACGTCTCCGGCACCATCGGCTCCAAGACCTATGGTGTCGCCAAGAAGACCCAGATCTTCGGTGTCAAGGTCCTCGACGCCAACGGCTCGGGCCAGAACTCCGGTGTCATTGCCGGTATGGAGTTCGTCGCCAAGGACGGCCCCGGCCAGTCGTGCCCCAAGGGTGTTGTCGTCAACATGTCTCTGGGTGGTGGCAAGTCCGATGCCGTGAACGCCGCCGCCGCCAAGATCGTCGAGGCCGGCCTCTTCCTCGCCGTCGCCGCCGGCAATGACGGCGCCGACGCCTCCGGCTACTCCCCCGCCTCCGAGGCGTCCGCCTGCACTGTTGGCGCCACTGCCATCGACGACTCCCTGGCCACCTACTCCAACTTCGGCAGCATCGTCGACGTCCTCGCGCCCGGCACGGACATCACCTCCACCTGGCCCGGCGGCAAGACCAACAAGATCAGCGGCACCTCGATGGCGTCGCCCCACGTCGCCGGCATCGGCGCCTACTTCCTCGGCCTCGGCCAGAAGGCCAGCGGCCTGTGCGAGTACATCGCCCAGAACGCTCTCAAGGACACCATCTCTGGCGTCCCCAGCGACACCAAGAACCTGCTCATCAACAACGCCCAGGGTGGCAACGGCACCTCCTTCCGCCGCTTCTAAGTTGGCTGCTTTCGTGTACATGGATGCACATATCGAGGGACACCGACCTGTACATAGCTTTCTACATCACTAACGTCTCATTGCCTGGCGATTACCAGTGTCCATACTTATGACAGCTGCGCTGGATCAGTAGCAAGTACTTTCCAATTCAAGCATATACCACCTGAAGTTGAAGTCCATGAATACATGTATCGTGACGTAGTCGAGTGTGACTTGTCGTGAACGCATGGCGAACGATAAGTCTCCAATCCCTCTCTGAAGATTCTTAGCGGGCGCGAGCGTAGTGTGGACCTCGCGATACTGACCGTGGCATGGCTGTCAGTCGATCCGATCGGCTTCTTGCTGATTCCGTTATGGGCAAGTCCAGGTTACGAGACCAGATGCTTCGATCGTTACACTGAAGCTGAAACCGCGGCAGATGGTCCTGTAGCGAGCTCTTGAATGGCCTGAGAAAGCGCTATTGTTGGCTTCGCGATGTGACATGTATCCTCCCTTGTCTGGCTGATGCCGGGCAAAGCTCGTTTCCCCGGTGGGGGAGAGGCCCTCGCCTGAACACTGGAGACCTCTGTACAACCTACAGTCGCCCAAATTGGGACCTATGCATCAGGTCTTGTTTCGGGCTGAGGAAAAGCAAAAAAAAACATATCGCGAAGAGTTCAGAATGTTGGGTTCAAAAGGATGGGCTCATTGTTGGAGGTTAGTCTTGGGGCCAGGACTATCTCCGTGCCAATTATACACGCATCTAGCTGCTTCTGAAGTTCCCCACGAAAACACCAAGCGATGGCAAAAACAGGAGTTCGCTTTCAATTCTACTGCGACATAGGCGAGGTTCAGGTCACCTCCGTCCATGAGGTCCCTCAGCAGCTTGTGACCTCCGCTGGAATGGCAGCACAGAGTGCTGCATACGTCGACCTGTTCACGCAAGTTGTGTCGCTTGTGCTCAAGGACCGAGAGCAGGCTTGTCGCAACGCATCGAGCGCCTTCTGCGACAATTGTGGCATGCCTGCGGCGAAAATTCTACAGAGCCCCATGTCCTGGCTGCAAAGGGTGGACGATCCGTTCGTCGGGGTCTGGGTCAGCGCCTTCTGTGGGAATGGCGACTGCGAGCTAGAGCTGCGACTGGAGATTGGTGAGATTATGAGCCAGGTCTCATCCGAAATGCAAGAGGGCACGGCGAACCCCGGCAGCGACGTTCTCATTTGCAGAGTCTGTGGAGAGGCGGTGGGAGTGAAGCGATGCGGACGATGCCTTGCTGTGGGTTACTGCAGCAGGGAGCACCAAAAGAGGGACTGGAAAGCCCATAAAACGGATTGTAGGCGGCACCGGGAGCAAATGTAGGCGGCTATGTTCTTCGTAAGAGGAGGAATGCTGATTCTGTCGCGTACGATGAAGTGAGCAAATTGATCAACGTTGTGGAATACCTGAGAACAACCCCAGGCGATAGAAGATTATGTTTGCCGTTCCCGCTGTTAGCGCGCGCGGCTATCGCAGACACAAATGTTGCGCATGGACGCGACGCGATGACACGCTGTGCGTGTGCCTACATGTCCACTAACCCTTGGACTGCGACCATCGTCGAGCACGGCCACTCTTCGCGGTTTGTGCGCAAGTCTTGCGCCACGACTGAGCAAACTTGGGATGAATAAGAACGCTCAGATAGCACGATCCGTTTTCACATTCATCGAGCAGGACCCAGGATATTTTTATTATCGCCGGCATTGCGGTTTGACAGCTCCGCGAATTGCCTGCACCTCCAGCACCTTTCATGATCCATCAATTGATCCGGCAGCCTGCTAGCCATTGATGAGACTTGGTGTGCCCTGCCGGCCGCTGCACTCGCTCTCGATCTTGGCGCCGGGTGATATGCTCACAGTGAGTGTGTCTACAGCTGTCTAAGACAGTGTCACGACTCGCTTGGCCACGCGAGCTCAACGTGGATTCGATCATGCGGCACATTGGCCACAGCGGCTGCTACTCGCGCCGAGGCAGATGACTTAATTGCGTCGTCTTTACGTGATGAGATGATGAGATTCTCTAGAATGGATACATGCATGAACGCCGGCAGTGTTGAACGCCGCCCCGGCTTGTGATGCGCCAGGCCCCAACCAAGTTTCCCGGTGACCTCCAATTGGAGATCGCATTCGGTCCGCACAAGCTAATCGTGTCCTCAATTTGGCAGATAGACGCTCATTTCGAGGCCCTTGTGATAGGGCAGAGTGAGATTGATGAACTTGCTCTCGGGACCGCGCAGGTAGTTGAGAAGCTCCTCGTAGCCCTTTGCCGAGCCGATGGTATTGTCCGTGATGACGACCGCGCCAGGTCGCATCTTGGGCTGCACGACCTTGAGAGTCGGCAGGGCCATGGGAGTCCAGACTGTGCTTTGGTCAGCTTCATGCTTCATTCATATCCATCAGTGACAGAGGAACTCACTGTCCAGCAGTAGCAGGTCTACATCTTCAAGATCTTGCTTCAGAGTCTCGCGCAAGTCGCCTTCTCGCAGGTCAATCACGTCCGTGATCTCCTCGCCGCACTCCTTCCAATACTCCCTAGCTTTGGCTGCCTTGGTCGGCTCATGCTCCGTCGCCACCACGCGAGCCTTCTTGCCACTGGCCTTGGCGTTCGCCGCCGCGGCGAGCGCCAGGTAGATGGTGCTCACGCCATACGACGTCCCCGCCTCGACGATGTTGCGCGCGCCTGTCGCACGGCACAGGGTGTACACGTACTGCGCCTTGTTCTCTTCCAGCGCAATGAACTTGTCGCGCATCTCGTCGGCGGCTGTGGGCTTGGTGTAGTCGCTGGGCGAGATCTTGGCCTCTTGCGCGAGAGACTGGGCGTGAAGTCGGGAGAGGACGTCCCGAATGTGTGATGGCACGCCGGCCATGGCGTTCTCGGGCGGGGTTTGGCCTTGCTGGACAGACATGATGAATTGCCGGGGTGAGGCTCTCAATGGAGCCTGACGCTATGATAAGTCGAGTGTTTCGCACAGCAATTGAGTCGAGCGAAAGAGGTACACTTCGTGATCTGTCAATCGTAATAATGTATTGATGCGATCGCGGGGAAGCTCGGTTTTAAACCACGGGTGACCGGCAAACCATCCGTTGATTCGCTAGCCCACGTTGACTCAGATCGTCTTTCCACAACCCAAGACATACTGCGCCCTCCAGCGTGGAGACAATGCAACACGAGCCGACATTCACGATCTTACAAGCAATTGTACATACCACCTCGTGAACACACTGTTCGTCCATCTGTACACGCCGCACTTATACCACAGGAACACACGAGTCCGGAGCGTCCGAAGCCTGTCATGAGCTCCACATCGGAGCGGCCTCGGAGGGCGAGATGCCTGTTGCACCGGCGGCTTACGTTGCCGAGGCCTGAATGACGGCCTCGGGCGAGCGGCCGACAGCACCGAAGCAGCGCGTGATGTCATCGAAAGAAAAAGGCGACACCACTCAACGATATCGTTTCGTGCGCTAGCTCTGGGCTGCAGCTAGCAAACTGCTTCGTTGCGGTGGGCGGCCCGCGATCCAGACTCCCAGGGCATGACATTGGCTTTACAGGCTGCCTGACGTCCGGTCTTTTGCGCAACGCGCCCTCCCGTGCAACAAGATGTAGCCTGACAGCCGCGACAACACGATGCTTTATGGCTTCGCTACTTGGCCCTTCCTCGAGGTTATCGACCCCAAGACCATGTGGTAGATGCACGGAGACACCGAGGCACATTCAGATACCGCGCTTGTAGCTGCGGTGTTAGCTGTCTGACACACCTTCATGCCACTAACATCAAACTTCAGCCTCAAAACTGCACGCTCCCGCAGCACTCGCGACTGAACCACCGGTGGACCATCATGCTACCCCGGCCATCTCGCAGCGGTCTCCTAAGTGCATGTCGCGTAATCGTCCAGCTGCTCGTGCCAGCACCATTTGTTGTTCCCGCGGCACTGCGCGCAGCAAGTTATCAGCGGCAAAGCTCCCTTTCGCGGGTTTCATCACCTACAATAAGGCGTTCAGGAACTTACCGGGTAGTCTTTGCTGCAAGCCCGATATCCGGCCCAGGCAATCCCTTTGGAGACCACTCCATCAGCATCGACCCATGGATGACAGGTATTCTTCTCTTTGTCGCATTTCTATAACGAAATCCTCAGCAGCTTTCTTATGCCACAAATGGGGTAGGTACACGCAGCGCGGCAGTCATCACCTACACCAACCATATATGACAGCCACTCCCACGCAAACGGTTCCAGATTTTTCCAAGTGCGATTCTGTTGCTTCCTGGAGTGTGTCGGCATTGTTGGCGAACGCGCGCAGTGGTTCAAGTCTGCAAGGTTAGGGACTGTGGTTAATTGAGCTGAGGTGAGGGCAATTGAGCGCGAAAGATCCGTTGATGTCCCTGATCTGGGTGAATGGCCGCCACGAGGGGTTTATAAGTCTGACAATGCTCACTATTACGTTTCGTCACTGCGTGACTGCGCTGCTGAACCGAGCCATGTCGTTCATTGGGACAATATTTTATCCAACTGACCGCCTCCAAGTGGCCCGGGCGCGCCACGACTTCAATTGTAGTCACGCCCTCGCTGGGCTGTGCCCGCGCCGATGATCCAACAGTCCTATGAGCACGGAGCGTTGCTCCAGGAAATGAGATTATTGACTGAACATGGCATTATTGCCTATGATTTGACAAAGAACATGCCGGCTTGGCGGTGTCTGGTTCCCGTCGAGACTTGACCAGATCGCAGCCTCAGTATATGTCTGTTGAAACTGGCCAGTAGATATGCATTGAGCCATCCCTGGTATCCTATTACGCAACCTGTGAAACAAACCTCAAAGTCAGGAATCCCATGGGACCTTGGCTCGAGGCCCGGACTGTGAACATGAACGGCACCAGACGAAACTCCGTGCAGCTATGGTAGGTGCGCTGTATGCCCGAAGACTGCACGTGGTCAAAAAAGGGAATCTAGAACCCGACCGCACGAGCGAAAGACGTCGAATTCGAAGAGAGAAATGCGGGAACGTTGAGCGAGCAGGATGCTGTGTGTTTATATTCTCATCTTGCCGCGACGTTATCTCGCGCCATGCTTGTACTTCCATTTCGTGACTCGTGAGGACTACGGAGCGCCGCGTAATGACTTGGTCAAATGATTGATGCGGAGCGTCAAGAACTTTGAGGCCGATTGCGTCGGTCGGCTCCCGAGCCCCCGATTCAATAATCTTATAGATATTTCCCAGTACCGCCTCGGTCTTTTATCTTTGCCCGTTGCCAATGCCACCGCAAGTCTGGTTGCCGTCGGGTATTTAAACCCGTCGGGAGGATCTTCAGCGGCAGCCCCACAGATTGCGCCTCGCCAGCTGCTAATCGCCCATCCGCGTCTGCCGCCCCCGAGACACCACACGCCCACTGCCGGGGTTGGAGAGATTCGGGTCTATCAACGGCTGTTCGGTCAGTGTTTGTTCCAGAATGTCTCGGGATAAATAATACCACGCGGCTCGTTCATCATTCGGCCGAGAGTAGCCTTTGTTCCAGCCTCCCCGCCCGCGGTCCCCTTCCGTCAAATACACATCGCATCTGCGCCGAGTCCGCTCCACAGATGCCCATCACGGCGCGTATTTAAAGTTGGAGCTCTGCACAAAAGCTCGCCCGTCGCTCTCAGCCATGGGGCCATCCTCCTCTCGCCGACGCCCTGCCTCGACATCTCCAGGGCCACTGCCGACGGCGCAACGACCGCGACTGGAGGAGCCAACGCAGACACCTGCCGTTAGTAACAAGGACGACATGACGCAAATAAATGGCACGAATGGGGCGGCCCAGAGCTTGCAGCTCCAAGGCAAAGTCTACGCCATCACGGGCGGCGCCAGTGGCATCGGCTTCGCGACGGCAAAGATCCTCGCGAGGCGCGGAGCAACGGTCTGCTTGGCCGACATTGACCCGGAGGCGATGAAAGAAGCAGGCTCATATTTCAGCTCGCATGGAGTTCCTCACATGATCGCAAAGGTCGACGTGTCGAAGCGCGCACAGGTTGACGCGTGGGTTGAGTCGATTGTCGCGGCCCATGGCAGGCTGGACGGTGCCGCCAATGCCGCTGGCGTGATTGGCAAAGGCCACGGCATCACACCAGTCGCCGAGCTGGAGGACAGCGAGTGGGACAAGATCATTGGCGTCAACTTGACTGGCACAATGTACTGCCTACGGGCAGAGCTGCGGCATGTTGTGGCTGGTGGCTCTATTGTCAACGTCTCATCAATTCACGGCCTGAAAGGTCAGTCATCTGGCCCATCCCACAGAGCGCCTCCTCTCAGACAACTAACAAGATGGCAGGGTTCGCGAAACATGCCGCGTACGACGCCAGCAAGCACGGCATGATCGGCCTCACAAAGGCAGCCGCGCTGGAAAACGGCGCACGCGAGATCCGGGTCAACAGCGTCGCGCCCGGCGCCATTTACACGCCTCTCATGCAAAAGAACTGGGATTTCGTCGGGCGACCATCAGACGCGCCATTCGATGAGCCGACTGCCTTCCAGCGACAGGGCACGGCAGAGGAGACGGGCAATGTGATTGCCTTCTTGTTAGGGCCAGAGAGCACGTTTGTGAGCGGGAGCGTTTACCAAGTAGACGGCGCGTGGATGTGACCAGGAACCTTGCGTCGAGATGTCAGGGCGTGTCGTGCATGTAAGCGACGTTTTTACCATCGGGTGGACTGGGTGTGCAGAGGCGCACGAGTGCATCATTGTAGGCGCGTTCTCGCGGCGAGAGCTTAGGGTTCATGGGCGATTCAATACAGCCCATATCAATGCTACTGGTCATCCATACGGAGTACATAAAGGGAGACCGTTTGGGTCTTGGAGTTGTCTATCTCTGAGTTGTAGCGCTGAATCCACGTGGGTTTTGCTACCCCTCGGCTTCAACCACGCCCTGTAAGACAGGACCCTGGGGAAGCGTTTTGGGACTCATGCCTCAATGACGTACACCAGCTACCTTCGTGAGGTGGCCATGTCGGGCAAATAGACCTCCGCTGAAGCAGGTTTTCTGTATGAAGATAAAAAGGCCGTCAATGACGACAAAGTTTAGCCGTCTGTATACAGAATCCACAGCAGAGTACTCGCACAAGCGCAGTTGCCTGGCAAAGGCGCGAGAAGCCAAGCTCGGCACCATACACGGGCTTTTACCCGACGGGTAAATGTTCAGCGTCAAGGCAGCCCGGCGCCGGCTCGCCTCAGCTGTTGATCCTCCTGTGGGGATTGCAACGCTTGTCTTGGTTACCAATAGGGCGAGTCCTTGCAGCCACCATCTCCCCCGCCTTCTGAGATCCTCTAGCCGAGTTCCTTTGGGGGCAAATGGTAACGACTCGTGGGTTCCCCAGAGCCCCTTCCCCCGCATCCGCGGCGTGGCTCCGGCCACTGAGGTCACTGGCGACCAGCCCATGCTGCAAGCACGAACGGGTACAACAAGCGACGGGGAAACCATGCCGGATGCACTTAGATTGCCACGAATCCGATTTGTAGACCCGTCGAATGCGGATCGGCAACTGACCAGCTCGACTAACCTCGACCGGAGTCGTCGTTGCAAGACGTGGAGCCGGTAGCTGGAGTACAGTAGATGCAATGTTGCGTCGCAGCTGCCCATGCTCCGTTCTTCGCTCCATTTGCCCCCGCACTCTGGTCGGTGATCCGACGGCTCTCTTTCATATACAATCATCGGTTCCGTCGATTGCCCAGATTCGAATCCACTCCGCAACTCCAGGTCCAGCGTCGGCGATACTGAGCATCCCACTCAGCCCTGCGCTCCCGCCCGTGTCTCATCACCCACGGCTCATGGCCCGGATATTTTGAGACTGCCCCGGTGCCCCATATCTGGCCCCCCGAAGCTACCGGTCCTGCCGCTGCACAATGTCTAACGACAGCGACCGACGTCGATCGCAGGCCCCAGCGGGCCAGTCTCCGGACGCGGGGGCCAATTCGCAAGGCGAGCACGCAAGACCGAGGAAGAGGACCAGACGCGCATGCGATAAGTGCAGCGCGTCGCGGACCAGGTGTAATGGAGAATGGTACGAGATGTCCCGCCCGCTTCCAACGCTTTCTTGACTGACCCGATGGCCACCCCATTAGTCCTTGTCGTCGCTGCGAAGGTATGTTGCGTAGCTTGGATATCTGTCCCCGCCTGCAGCAGTATCATCTTCTGCACGATCAAACTTCACGTCGTGTAGCTCTATGCGACGGTTCCTTCCACTTCCTGGGAATGGGATTGACACCCTGACACAGCAAGATACTGTCCGCTAACCCGTGGCTGTTCAGAGTACGGCTACAGTTGTCGCTACAACCGTGAAGTCAAGAAGAGGGGGAGACTGCCGGGGTCCGCGTCAGTTCATCCATCTCGTTTGTGGCCATTCGGTTTCTCCGGCTGACCCTGCATCCCAGTATTCGCGACAATGCTCAGAAAGCCCGGCTCTCGCCGCCTGCGGAATCACCGATCTATCTAAAGGACACACCCAGTGAGCGTCAAGAATCGCAAAGCGATACCTACAGCAATGCAATCTCCCTCAACAACGAGGAGACCCATCACGACGACGGCGCCCGGCCGTCACAGACCCACGACCACGACTACGCGCCCCTTCAGCATGCCATGGCTCCACGATCATCAACAGCCCTATCCATTACCGCCCTGACACAATCCGGTGCTCCGGTGTCAGCCCCTCCGGCAATGACGGACCGTCGGGCCTTCCGACCCCGAGCTGGCTCATCGTCAGTCGGTGCCATGGACGGCCCCTTTGTTGACTCCGAGGTTCTCATCTCGGACGAGAGCGTGGGCTTTCCGTCACCAGCGAATGGACCAGGACCGTACGAGTTTGGACGCAATCGAGCACATCGGGGATCTTTCAGGTCAAGCACCAGCGGTGATCGGAATCGCGAGTCCGTCAGCACGGCTGCGACGTGCCCGGACGCCTTTCTCCCCGACGTACTACAGAGAGCGCCGACCGACGACTGCTGCTACAAGTTTTTGGAGCCTGTTCTCCCGTACATACGCAACATCATTCCCGCCTCTGTCGCCTGTGAGCTGCTGGACATATTCTTGACCGACCCTGGCAGTTCCCTGTTTCGTGGGGCCTCGCCGTACATTCTGACACGAATTTTTCGCAAAAAGTCAATTCTACATCCCACGGCACCCAGATATACCACGCCTGCGCTTCTGGCGACGATTCTGTGGTGCGTCGCACAGACGGCAGATGTCATGGTTCTGCATGTTCCCGGAACGAGGGCACGGGTCGTGAATGACTTGTACGATCTCGCGACTTCATTGGTGTCGGAGAGAGATCCTGACAGATGGAGGCGCATTCACGGTACGCAATCCCCACCTTTCATATTGATGCACGTCTTGGAGTCTAACAGCGATTAAGGTGGATTGCGAGCCGAGAATGAGACACCTCATCCCAATATCCCTGGGTTGGGCGCCTTTCCCATGACAACTGCAGCGAACGAGCCCGCCGGCGTCATTGATGACGTGCTCACGTTCATACTTCTTTCCATCGCCGTGTCAGGCAGCGACTTCAAGTCCGACTGCTATAAGTGGTGGTCAAAGGCCATCAGGCTGGCCCTCTCGCTGAGGCTGAATCGCGAGGACGAGCGCTGCCCTGCCCCCGTATCGCCATGCGCCAATCCGCTCTGCTCCTGCCATCGAGATCGAGAAGACGCATCGCTTGCAGACATCGAGCGCAGGGAGGAGCGCAGGAGAGTGTTTTGGCTCTTGTATAGCCTCGACAGGCATCTGAGTCTCTCATTCAACACTGTTCTCTCCATGCCCGACTCCTACTGCGAGGTCTATGGTAAGCTTCTTCATCACTTAGACTGGACTCTCAATTGACACGACCACCAGCGCCACTGCCGGAGACCATTTGGGAGGATTTGGACCTGATCGGCTCGAAACAGCTTCCTACGCGCATAATTGGACCCCCGGTTGTCGCTAGCGGTACAGGCTTCTTCGAGTACTTCCTGCCACTGATGGCAATACTAGGCGACATCATCGAAGTCCACCATCGGCGGCGACACCCGCGACTCGGGGCACAAGAAGACACTTTCTCGGTTGCCGTCATCCAGGACCTCCTTGCCAATTACGAACTCAGCCTAAATGCACTCCCGACAGACCCCAGTCTCAATGGCCAGCCGTTTGGTATGCCTACTCAGACGAGTCGCGACTTGGGAGCGGGCATAGCTACGCCGGCGATACATCACAGCACAGTACCGAGACCGGCAATTGAGACAGGTGACCAGTCGCGAGTACGCCTTGTCAAGGCATATAGCACACACATTCTTCACGTGTTGCATGTACTCCTTCATGGCAAATGGGACGCCATCTCCATGCTCGACGACGGCGACGATTGGATCACGTCTAAGCGTTTCACCGAGTGCGCCTCCCACGCCATTTCCGCGTCGCAGTCTGTATCCACGATCCTCACGATCGATCCGGAGCTCACATTCATGTCGTACCTCTTTGGCATCTACTTGTTGCAAGGCAGCTTCATCTTATTACTCTTCGCGGACCGCATGCCTCAACTTGGACCGAATGAGTCGGTCGAGCAGGCGTGTGAGAACATCATCCGAGCACACGAGGTGTGTGTGGTGACTCTCAGCACCGAGTTCCAGGTATGTGGCCCAAGTCTGGGCGATCTGATTATGAGCGTTTCTGACAGACGGCAAGAAAAACTTTCGCAAGGTGCTCCGGTCGACGCTGTATAGTGTACAAGGTACGGGAACGACAAACTGGGATGAGCATCGAGCGCGGAGGCGAGCGCTGTCCCTGTATCGATGGACGAAAGGCGCAAAGGGGCTCGCTTTGTGAGGTCGCGATGCTCCATAATGTATCGCCATGCGTGCATGTCGCGAAACATTCGGCCTTTCGGCCGCAGAGGATAAACGGGGTTTGCGAAGAAATGTGCCGAAGGTCAAACGGTGGGCCAGGACGACGGCGGACAGCAGAATCGAGAACCAAACAAACACGAACTCAATCACGGTCAGCAACGCGTTCCTCAAGGAGGCAGCAAAACAGGTCATGACTGTGTAAATGTAAATTCCGGCTGTATGACGTAATTGTAAACAACGTAAAAAGCGTTTCTGCTGTCGAACCTCTTTGGTGCCTCCGGCCCACCTCAGACAGCTGGCCTTTCCTTGACCGTGGTTGTCGCCTTTCTACCAGATGCCGTGCTAGGAGATAAAATGTATCTTATCCCAGCCCGTATCATCAATGCTGAGGCGGCGACGCGCAAAACAAGATAGGAAATATCGGGTAACCCAAAATTGACCAGTCGCACTCACCACCATGGCTTCGTATCACCTCCAATGTTGTTGATCCCGGCACACTCCATGTCCGGGCACTGTTCCACGCCGTCTCTCGTTACCAAGAGGAGGCCGCAGGCACGACAAAGCGAAACTCCCTGTGGGCACTTCTCGATGCAGCGGCCGGCCTTGCAGCCCTCACAGAGCTCGATCTTGTGGGGTTCCTTGGGGTCGTTGCCACCAGAGTACGGTGGTGGCAGCAACTGTCGTACACCATACCACTTCTTGATGCGGTAGGCGATTCGCTCCGCGTACGAGCTGTCCAGCTCAGGCTTGCTGAGTTTCTTGCAGGCCCTGCACCGTTGGAAGTAAACACGGGCGTTGTACGTCCTGTCCGAGTACATGCGAATCGTGATCGCGACCCTCTTGCTCGACCAGCCCTTGGACTTGCATGAGGCGTTGTGGCAGATGAAGCGGCCCATGATGTTGGTGTCGTAATCCTCAACGAGATGCTGCTCGTCGTCGGCGTGATGGAAGTGGAAGAACAACATGTCCTGCAGCAGCAGGCGCCGCACATCCTGGTGGAGAGATGGGTACAGCGCCCACGACTGTTCGTTCTTGGCCCGCATGTTCGGCATTGTGAGTGGAATGGGGATTTAGTGACCGAAGCGGGAGTGAGTTGGGCGCTGTCTAATCGTCAGAAATGGCGAGTGAAACGCGAGAGGGACGTGCAGGCAGGGCGAGACTGCAGATGCACTTACAGGAGGGCCAGATGAGAATGAGAAGTTGAGTCCAAACGTCCAAGTGTATCGTGACAACAGGTGGAAAGCGTGACAGTAGATGCAGCACTCGAGCGGTGTTGCAGGTGTGAGCTTGTCTGGCTTTGTTCTGTGGGTTTCAGTCGTCCTTGAGGTCGCTTTTATATGCCTGCGTACAGTCGTTGCACGTGTCAGTCTGGGTGAGCTTAGGTTTGCGAGGCGCGAAACGTCTGGTAGTTCCAGCATTTGGGACACGACGGCGCGACGATACAGTGCGTATTAGATTTGCGCTGATGGAACCATAAATGCATTTAGTTTATGTTATTGACTAGTTAGACGTTATCGCCCTTGGCCTAGTCCTGCTTCAACTCCTTCAACACGGTGTCCCACCCACTCTCCCCTGTAAACAGTTTCGCCTTGACCGGGCACACCGTGCCCTTGGCCGGCATCGTCCCGTTCAGAAAATACGACCGTATCGCCCTCGCCGTGCACAGCGACCCCATCATAAGGCTATCATGCCCGTAGCTGTCATGCTGCAGCAGGACGCTGCCCGCGAACGTCTCGCTCACGTTCCGAGCCGACGCCAGCGGTGTCGTCGGGTCGTGCGTGTTGCCGATGACGAGCACGGGGTTTCTGCTCGTGACGTTGAAGTCGCCCATGTAGCGCTCCTTAGCAGGCATGCGCCACTGCGCGCACCGCGCGACCATTTCGTCGGCCGTGTCGCCGAACATGCGGCTCATGTTGTGGCGCGCGGCGAAGACGGGCAGCATGGCTGTGAGGTTACTGGTGTGCTGGCGCACGTCGCTGCATTTTATGCCCTGGAGGGCTTCGGCAGACGACGGGATCTGGTTGGATGCAGATGCTGAGCCGGCGCTGCCGGAGGAGGACATGACTGCCGCGATGGCGGTGATGTTGCCCGTCATGAGGGCGTGTAGTGTGGCGGCGGTGCTGGCCCAGTTGGTGGGGAAGTTGAACGCAGGGAGGAGCATCGTCTTGACGATGCTGATGTCAATGAGGCTCCCGCCGCATAGAAGCGCTGGGCTAGGCAGCGGGATAGGGTTGTACTTGAGGTTATCAAGGAACTTGTACACGGCGGCGTGGAGCTCGTCCGCGGTTAGGTTGCCAGCTAGCGGACAGGCCTCTCGAGCGGCGACACAGCCTTCAATGAAGCCTCTGAATGTCGCATCGAGATCGGTGAAGAGCTCAGACTCGCTACTCGCAAACCGTCAGTCCTTATGAGCTTGGAAGATGTCCGTTTCGGCCAGGAAAGCTCACGTATTGGTGTAGTACTCGAACGGGTTGACGACGCCGTCGAGCACCACCCTGTCCATTTTGTCGGGAAACATTGCGACGGCAGTCGCGCCGAGAACCGTGCCATACGAGACACCTTCATGTAAAAGTTCATTAGCATCCATGTGCAGCTACACGCATAGGGACCAAGAGGAGGTTTCGGTAGCTCACCCCAGTAGCGCAGCATGCCATCTTCGCGCAGCGCATCGACAATGCGCATCATGTCGCGCACCACAAACGCGGTGCCGATGAGCTGGCCAGTCTTATTCTGGGCCGCAAAGCAGTTGCTCGCGAAGAGGGTCGACTTGGCCCATATTTGCCCGAGGGCGACATCGGACGCGTTGCCCGCGAGTGGCTGCGCACCCACCTGTCTGGAAATGTCGTTGGGATAACATGAAAACGGCAGCGTGAGACCCGTGCCCCTGCATCGCGCCGTGTTAGTCGTCTCCTAGCCTTCGTGCAGCGATGGAGCCTCAACGTACCTTGGCGCAAACGAAATCAGGTCATGGGAGCCGCCAGTAGCACTGGATAGAAGCATCGTCTCGTCAGCACTGGATAGGCAATAACTCTAACATTTTTGTAGAGACCCACGCTTGCATGCGCTCTGCGAAAAGGGCAAAGTCCGCCACGCCGTCGGCGCCGGGCCCGCCAAAGTTGAGCAGGATGCTGCGCTTCTTGTCGCACTTTTTGCTCGCGGGCGCGCGGAGGAGGTCTAGTCGCAGCGTGGCATTGGACTTTGTGTCGGTGTAGTCCAGGGGCACGGTCAAGTTGCCGCATTCCAGCGGGAGCGTGGCATTGGGGATGTCGCATGGAGCCCACTGAATGGTGGTGGTGTCGAGGGCGCGGTCATGGTGTAATGGGCTGGCGGCAGCGAGTGCCGAGAGGGCTGCCGCGCCGCCAACCAGATGGGTGTATGAGTTTAGGCGCATGGCTTGACGTGTTTACCAGCAATTGTGATGGGAGTCTCTGCTATCGAGAGCATCTACGGTACGGCGTCCGTGTAAGCCTATTTATCTTCATGACAAGACATCGATGGCATCTCTTCCTATCACGGACTGGACATGAATAGCTGGGCTGTGCTCGAGGCTGTTACATGAGAGCGCTGGGTATTACTGGTTTGGGTAATGATCATCAGAGCATTTAGAGGCTGTTCCTGGTGCCACCGTCATCATTCGCCTCCAAGCCGGCTGCTGCCCCAAGTTACCAGGCTCAGAGGGCTGTCAGCCGCTAGCAAGATCCACTGCCGGTGGACAGGCTGACTGACAACTCTTGACCGGGCGTGGTTGACTTGCAGCCACGTCGGTTGAGTCCGCCATTGATGCGCGCCAGCCCCGTTTCTGACGCAGGCCAAAGGAAGCTCCCCAATACCTTGTATACGTCACGTTGAAGGACTGGCGTCGCCGATGTGATGTCTGGTGCTATGTGCACTGCCAATAGCCGTGGTCGCCAAAGTTTCCCATCGCGGGCCAAGTATAGCCCAAGCCAGGCACTGCCCGCCGACGACAAAGCCGCTGCGAGAGCACCCTCACAGGCTACAGACTGCCCTACCCCTGCCATCGGTCAAAGTTCCTGATCAAGTCTGGAACGAAAGTCAGTTTCGCAATCACCAGACTCCCTGCTGCCCACGAGCAAACACCAACTCACCATAGTAGAACCTCATCCCCTCCAGATGCGCCGCCATGTCCATCCGCTCGTCCGTCCCATGCGCATTCAGCCGCGTCCCGCTCCGCGACGGCGTATACCGGTAGATATTGCGCGTCAGGTCCCAGTAGTGCGTCGTGTCCGTGTTGCCCGTCATGATATTCCCCACGGGCACCACCGTCCGGCCCTTACCCTCCGGTATCGACGCGAACGCGTGCCGCAGCGTGCCGCTGAACAGCGCCCACACATCGTTATCTGTAGGCGACAGCGGCGCGGGCGGCAGCGTCTGTACGCCCTTGTACCCAATGGAGCCCTTCAACGCCGTGTCGTTACTCGTTTGACCTCTTCCGTCGTTGGCGTCGCGCACGTCGAGGCCGTACTTGCGTGCAATCTTCTCCATCACCTTGTCGAGCCGCTTGTTGACGAACTCGACAGACTCGTGCTGCGCCACGCGGTGGTTGATGAGCAGCTCGACGTGCTCCGGCAGGGCATTCGCCTTGACGCCCCCGGTGATGACGTCCACGGCCTGGCTCGTCTGCATCAGCCACCGGTCCTCAGGCATCTGCGGGGCGAGCCTCTCTGCGATTTTCCTCTCGTCCCAGCGCTGCAGGCCCTCCTTTAGCCACGGCTGGACGTCGCGCGGCGAGTGCTTGGCCTTGCACTCGAGCACCCTGCGGAACGGGCTCTCGCGCGTCAGCCGCGGCGTGTACGGCTCGCGCTCGACCTCGGTGATGAACTCGGCCACAACTCCAATGGCAGAGTGCGGCGGCGGGCGTGAGCTGTGCCCGCCCTGCACGTCGAGCGACAGGAGGATGTCGTGGTAGCCCTTCTCGCTGACGGCCGGGTACGCGTACAGCACGTCGCCCAGCGTCTCGGTGCCCATGCCGCCCTCGTCGAGCACGAACGCAAACGAGTCCCTGCCCCATTCCTCGATCAGCGACTCGCTCAGCTTGGCCGCGCCGCGCTTCCCGCCCGTCTCCTCGTCGAAGCCGAACGCGAAGACGATGGTCCGCCGGGGGTGGAAGTCTTGCGAGAGGAGGTCCTCCATCACGGACAGCAGCCCGATGAGCACGTTCTTGCAGTCGGTCGAGCCGCGGCCCCAGAGGAACTGCCCGTCGTAGTGCGGCTCGAAGGGCGGGTACTTCCACTTGGACGCGTCGCCGGCGGGGACGACGTCCTGGTGCGCCATGAAGAGGATCGGCTTGAGGGACGGGTCGCTGCCGCGGAAGGTGTATTGCAGACCGTAGCGATTGATCTTTTTGAGCTCGAGACGGGAATGCCTTGGTGAGGTTTCAGCGTCTAATCATCGTGGCAATTGCAGAGTACCTAGTTGGGACTTACACGAGCGTAAACGTCTGCTCCAGAACATCGTGAAACTCGCCAAACGAAGCCCATCGCGGGTCATCATCCACGTCCCCATTGTCGTCAAAGCTTTGCGTCGCGATAGCCACCGCATCAGCCAACCGCTCTACCTGGATGCGGCGCTGCTCGTCGCTCAGGAGGCGGTCGCCGGGTTTAAGGCCGTCGTCGTCGGGCGGCGCAATGGCATCGGCCAGCTTGCACCACTGCCGGGGGTCGTCTGCGTATCGCCCCGCGACGCTGCTGATCCATCCGCGCCCATGGCCACGGTTTGCGAATCGCACGATGGGTGTGTAGATGATGAAGAAGACGGTGAGCAGGAGTAAAAGGCCGAGGTGCGCGAGCCGGCGGCCTTGCGACCGCGGAGGCGGGAGGTCGGGGGTTAGCAAGCCCTTCATGATGGAGTTGGAGACGTCCTGCACGAACAGCGAGCGTTTGCAAACTCCTCACAGCTCGGCCAGCAGCAGCAGCAGCTATGACAAGGGCGACAGCCACGTCCTCATAAGGAATTGGAGAAGAGCAAGAGGGGTAGCTCGACTGCGGGTGCCAGTCCCGTCAACAATAGCCCGTCACATGTTTTCATGCAAGTCTGGGGATGGAGCAACATCATGTCGTGACATGCAAGTGACTGCATCGGTCATCAGCCCGTGCCGCCTGCATCGCCACTGTCACCAACCCCGCTCCATGTTGCGCGCGGCGGCGGCGGCGGCGTAAACGACGGGCATTGACGAAACGGAGGGGAACCCGGACGTTGCTCCGCCCGCGCACCGATACCGGCCGGCCCCATTTGCCGAGCACTTGCCTGTTTGGGCCACTTACACGCGAGGGGAGGGGCCGTCAGTCCGGGCTCGCAATGCCGGCTCAATCGTATTTACCTCAGGCGGTGTTGAGTTGTGAACACAGACTCATGTGGGCTTTCCTCTGTCCCTGGTCTGGCAAGAAAGGCTGCAGGTTCACATCTTTCATCATTATTCATATACTGTAGTAGGGACAGGATATACAGAGCAGCATCATCGCTCAAGAGTGTTGTCCTCCAAAGCGCGCAAATCAGTACACCACAAACTCAGCCACCGTGCCGCCCGTGCCCGCCCCCTCGCTCTCGTCGCAGCCCGCGCACCCCTGCACCGTCAGCTTCACCCACTCGCCCGTCCACACGTCCAGGCTCTCCGCGAGCGCTATGCTCGTCGTGTTGCCCTGCACGGGCAGCACCGTCTCCGGCCCGGCCTCCTGCCGGTTCGCGCTCACGGAGTCGTAGCTCACCACGGGGCCCTCGTCGACCCGGTCGCTCGTCTCGTTGAAGAACCACACGCTCAGGTTCGCGACGGGCCGCTCCCCGAAGTCGAACCACAGCCCGCGCACCTTTTGCGGCGGCACGCCCGTCGTGTTGACCCAGATGCTGGCGCTGGCGTTGCCGTCTTTGGGCTGCCATGCTGTCGCGGCGGCGCCGTCGGTGGCGCTCTCGGGAAGCTGGCCCGCGACGTACGCGTCTGAGGAGGTCACGGGAAGGCACTGCAGCAGGTTGCCCTCGCGGGTGGCCTTTTGCCAGTACAGTCGGTTGGGTACCACGACCGTCTGGTTGACGGCAATGGTATACTGCTCGTTGCCCGTCTCGTTGCCCGGTGTGCCCGCGATGAAGGGCATCGCCTTGCCCGCGTAGCCCGTGCTGTTGAGGTTCCCGGCGTTGGCAGGGATCGGCACGCGCGTCAACTTCGTGTGCGTCGTATTGAGGACGGCGTCAAAGGCCGCGCCGGCGAAGAAGAAGCGCCGGAGACGCAGGTGCGGGAGCTGCGGCGGCAGCGATGGCGCGACGTACAGGACGTCCTGGTCGGTGCGCAGGCCGAGGAAGGTAAACGGCGCGATTTGCATGGCGCCGCCGTGGCCCGTCAGGAACGGGAACGCGGGGTTGGTGCCGCCGTTGATGGTCGGGTCGTCGATCTGCTGCTCCGAGAACTGGTACCACGGGCCTCGCAGGTATGGGAGGAACCCCTTGAGCGTGTAGGTGTAGGCGGCGCAGCCCGAGGGTGACACTTCGTTGGCGGCGGCGGCAAAGGCGGAGAAAGTCATGGCTGGGCCATCTGGCGACTGCTTGATCGAGTACTGCGCATCGTTGTTAGCATCGTGTGTCACATCATCCGGCGAAGAGAGCGGCTGGGGCAACATACGTAGTCCAGGTCGAGGAGGGCATTATCGGGCGTGTAGTTGTAGCCGTAGCCCAGTGGATACGTCACCAGCACCACATCGGCCTGCTTCACCTCGACAGAGTTGTTCATGGTCTGGTACTCGAGCGTAATGTTGGACTCTGCCCGCGGGAACGCCATCTTCTCAGCCATCTCAGCCCACGTCTCGTTGGCCGCCTTGCCCTGACGCACGAGCATCTCGTTCGCCCGTCTCAGCAGCTCGCTCGCGGACGCAAGCGTGAACGACGGGTTATCGACATTGTTGGCATACTCGTCCGGGTCCGTGGCGTTACGCAGCCAGTAGCGCTTCTCCGTCTCGTTCCACTGCACCAGGCTGGCCGTCATGTACGCGGTGCTAAGGACGACCTGCTCCGGCCCGTCGGCGAACCACGTGTCGTTGCGTGTCACGTTCAGCAGCTGCAGCATGTTGAAGGCAATGTCGTAGTTGAGGTGGTACTCGTAGTCGACGCAGGGCCCTGTCGCCGTGCAGTTGCCGTACCGGCCCGCCGTCCACGAGTACAGCGAGCTGTCGTTGGCGTAGCCGTTGAAGACGGCGTTGTCGATGGCCTGCGCGTGCTGCTTGACGCGGAAGTTGGCAATCTGCTGCGCGTACTTGGGGAACGCAATGTTGAGCCCCGGCGCCATCCACGTATCCGCGTCCCAGAAGATGAGACCCGCGTACGAGTCCGACGTGAGCCCGCCGACGGCGACAGAGTTGTCGTTGAGCCCGCTGCCGTCCTCGGGCCGCAGGTTCTGCAGTAGATAAAACGTGCTCGCCGCGCTCGCCACCTGCAGGATCTGGACGTTGCTATCGTCTGGCAGTTCGCCTGTCGCCGGGTCTGTGAAGTTGTCGACTGCGTGCTCCGTCATGAGCTCGGCCCACGCTGCGGTGTGCTCGTCGCGCAGCTTTTCCCAGCCGTCCTTCTTGGCCTTGCTCGCCGCCTGTCGCGCAACGCTCTCGGCCTTTTCGAACTTGTCCGTTGACGCGACGCCGACGTACTTGTAAAAGACGGCTTCCTGGTCGGCCTTGAGGCGTATGTCGAATGTCTGCCCGACGGTCGTCTCGTTGGCTCCGAGATACTTGCCGCTCGCCTCCCGTCCACGTCCGGACGATGCAAAGTCGGACATGGAGACGACCCAGCCCGTGACGTTGGCTAGTCCGTCTGGGTGGACCGCGGCGTACACGCTCGGGTTGCTGCCGTTGGAGACGACGCCCTTTTGGTCCAGATAGCTGCGGACGGCGCTGCGCCCGTCAAGCAGGTCCGTCGCCGTGCCATTGATGTCCTTGGACGCGCGGATCGTGGCCTTGGAGGCGACGACATTGGGTCGCACCCTGCTGAAGATGAGGGCAAAGGTGACGTCAAACGACGCCGACGCATTCTTGGGGCTCCACGTGTACGACCACTCAGCGACGCCTTCCCTCATGGACAGCCGCTGCCGGAAATTCGAGACCGTCTCGTTGTTCACATCTGCATCGAGCCACTCGTCGCCAAAGCCAAAGACAATGGCCGTCGGGTGCGGGATGCCGGCGATGAAGGAATCCCAGCCATACTGGGTCAGCCAGGGGTAATTGGTACCCGAGGCGTTCTTCTGGATATTGTAGAAGCCCGAGATGGTGGAAAAGGCAATGCGCGGGTTGAAGAGCGGCCAGCCGTTGGTGGGCTGCAGGCCGTCGCGATCCGTCTGGTTGACGTCGATCTCGAAGAAGGGCCCCGCGGCGGCGACGGACGCGCCGACGTAGCCGTTGGACAGGCCGAGGCGCGACTGGTAGTGGCCCGGGACGAACTGGTGCGCCGTGATGGACCAGTCGCTCTGGTTCCACGTCGACAGGTTGCCCGTCGTCACGGAGAAGTCGGGGCCTGTTGCCGCGGCGGAGGTGACGGCCGCGGAGGCGCCGCCCGCGGCAGCCAGCACCGCGGAGAGCAGTGACAACGGCAGCGGCAGCACCATGGCGGGTGGGTGTGCGTTGCAAGTTGCAACCTGTGGGGGTGGGACTGCAGTGCGGGTGTAAGTGCCGTGCGCAATGCGACTCGTGCTGTCTCCCTCCTCGTGAGAGATGTTGCTGGCGTTGGCGCAACAAACAACAGCAAGCAGAGACGGGAGCTGGTCCAAGTTATGTAGTAGCAGCAAGCTGCAGCACGACGTAACAATGGCATGGCCTGGCACGGCACGCACTACCGAACAATTCGCTTCCCACTTGGCGCGCCCCAAGAACCGATGCCAGCGATCGGCACTGCCGTCGCGCCGGTTAAAGCGGAGTGCATGGGATGATGCCTACGTCCTTGCCTTCCCCACGGTGAGAGCTGCGGAGGGTCTGGCTTGCAAGCCACGGCCAGCCTGCCGGGAGCCTGTCCCGCTGGCGAGAGGCCCCAGTCAGGTCCCGGTCATCTTCATCTGGTGGCATCATGGCCAACCTGCTCGCCATGAACCGCTCCAACGGGATGCGCGTCCCAGCGGCACGAACACTGCCTATGCCCACGCTCGCGCATGTCTCGTAAGAAGAGCCTCTGGAGCTGCAGCCCGGCTCCTCACGGTCTTTGGCTGCCATGATCCCACGTCCAGGCCATCACCGTTTGCCATCAAATCACAACGAGCTCTGATGTCTCTGGGGATCTGTGCCTGCCTGACGGACGTGTGCCGCCGCGGGAGCGCTGCAGGTGGCTTTCCCACAAACAACAAGCATTACGACGGTGGCTGCCGCGCGGCCAGGGATCCGGACGACGCTATCCCGACAAACGGCCGAGGGCGTCGACAGATGCGGGTTAAGCTTGATCTGGGGCGCAAAGCGTTGAGCCACCACCAACCACCACGGGGTTGCCGGCGGGACTCCAGTGCCCGTACAGAGTGCAGACCTGCAGAGCTACCGGGCTACTGGAGCTGCGCCGCGAACTGCTTGCTTCTCCGCCAGAAACTTGCCCTGTGTGCCGGCTGCCGGCGGTGGCGCGCGGGGGAGGGAAGAGTTCAAGAGACCCACGAGTCGTGCTCGGTGAAATGGTGGGCCGCCCTTACGCACCGGGAGGGCGCGCGCCAGCGACTTGCAGGTCCAGGATTCCAGTGACGTGCAGAGCGACTTGCCGGTTCCGTCAAGCTTGCCATGTCGGTCGTCATTCATTGTGTCCCTGTACCGGGGGTGAGGTGGATGAATGAGGGCTGCGCGCTCGTGGCGAGCGACCAGGTTTGCGCGCCTCGCTTATCCACACGGTCGGCCCTTTCAAGGATTGAACAAGTTGTTTAAGTGGGTGCTCGAGTCGTGCTGTCCGCGGCACGGGATCCGATGATGGTGGACTTACACGGGGGGGGTTCCTGCGGGGGCGGGACTGGACGTGCTGCACAGGAACGCCGTCTTTGTGACCACGGGCACAAAGCGCGGGTGCGTTCCTGCATCGCCAAACTCTGTCTGAAAGTATCCAGTTGAAGAAAATTGCAGCATCGTACAGGCAGTTTTTTTTTGTTCCCTTTTTGGGGGCCTGTAAAGGAAACACTGCTACACGACACTTAACCTGGCTGCTTCGTCATGATGAAACCTCCACGCCGAACGTAAACGTTGACCATCTTCGGCGGGTGCCAGTAGAAACTCAAAGCTCTGAAGACAATTCTTCGAGGACATTCTAAAATTCCAGGGCAGAATTTGCCATCACCCATTGCCCGCAGTCGTCATGGAACGCCCGCAAGTCCATCGTAGCAACACGTCATTAACGCCGAATCCAAACATCACGGCAGGTATAGGGTAGGCCGCGCCAAATTGCCCCGCGCTGGCTCACTCCCCCGGAAAAAGGTTGATGCCCTTCCACGCCGAATTGCCTCCCGCTGCCCCACCTCCACACGATGCGGCCACCAAGCCAACATTCTGGACCGGACCTGGAGTCGTGATCTTGAACAGCGACCGACTACACCTCCCCGTCGCCATCTCGTCCCGAACCGTCGTCGAACACACGCCCGGAGGCGCTTGATCCTCCGCGATGGTTCTTCAAGATCTCGGCCGTCGCATCAATGCGGCGGTCACCAACCTCACCCGCGAGCAGAACCTCGACGAAAAGGTGCCGCCGCCCTCACCCCTCGAGACCCCTCACGAGCTTCGTCTGCCCCTAGACGATGCAGTCTGCTGACTAGCTGCCCCCAGGCATTCGACTCTATGCTCAAAGAGATTTGCTCCGCCCTTCTCGAAGCCGACGTCAACGTGCGCCTCGTCGGCCAGCTGCGCAAGTCCATCAAGAGCACCGTCAACTTCAAGGACCTCCCCCCCGCCGTCAACAAGAAACGCCTCATTCAAAAAGCCGTCTTCGATGAGCTCGTCAAGCTCGTCGACCCTCACGCCGAGCCCTTCAAGCCGAAAAAGGGCAAGCCCAATGTCATAATGTTTGTCGGTCTGCAGGGTGCTGGCAAGACGACGACGTGTACCAAGCTGGCCCGCCACTACCAGACCCGCGGCTTTCGCTCATGCCTTGTCTGCGCCGATACGTTCCGAGCCGGTGCCTTTGATCAGCTGAAGCAAAATGCGACCAAGGCCAAGATCCCCTACTACGGCTCGCTCACGGAGACGGACCCCGCCGTCGTCGCCCGCGCCGGTGTCGAGCAGTTCAAGAAGGAAAAGTTCGACGTCATCATCGTGGATACGTCAGGTCGCCATCGGCAAGAGTCGGCGCTGTTCCAGGAAATGGTGGACATTCAGACGGCGATCCGGCCCGACGAGACAATCATGGTACTGGACGCATCCATCGGCCAGCAGGCCGAGTCGCAGGCCAAGGCCTTCAAGGAGGCGGCCGACTTTGGAGCCATCATCATCACCAAGACGGACGGCCACGCGCACGGCGGTGGTGCCATTTCGGCAGTCGCGGCGACGCACACGCCCATCGTGTTCATCGGCACAGGCGAGCACATGCTGGACCTGGAGCGGTTCGCCCCGCAGCAGTTTGTGCAGAAGCTCCTGGGAATGGGCGACATGGCTGGGCTCGTGGAGCACGTGCAGAGCCTCAACCTGAACCAAAAAGACACCATGAAGCACATCCAGGAAGGGATATTTACGGTCCGGGATCTGCGGGACCAGCTGTCCAACATCATGAAGATGGGTCCGCTGTCCAAGATGGCGGGCATGATCCCGGGCATGAGCAACATGATGCAGGGCATGGATGACGAGGAGGGCAGCGCCAAGCTGAAGCGCATGATCTACATTTGCGACTCTATGACGGACAAGGAGCTGGACTCGGACGGCAAGATCCTGATCGAGCAGCCGAGCCGGATGACAAGGATAGCAAGGGGATCAGGCACGTCGGTGCGCGAGGTCGAGGATCTGCTGACGCAGCAGCGGATGATGGCCGGCATGGCCAAGAAGATGGGCGGCAACATGAAGAACATGCAGCGGGCGCAGCAGGCCATGGGCGGCGGCAACAAGGCGCAGCAGATGGCGGCGATGCAGAAGCGGCTGCAGAGCATGGGTGGTGCGGGCGGTGCCGGAGGCATGGGCGGCATGGGCGACATCATGAAGATGCTGGGTGGAGGCGGCGGCGGGATGCCGGACATGGGCAACCTGCAGGCCATGATGAAGCAGATGGGCATGGGCGGCGGCATGCCTGGGATGCCAGGCGGCGGTGGTGGCCGCGGGCGCAGGTAACGGCCCAGCTGCACGGGAAAGAGGCGGATACGCAAAGGAGAGAGACACGTGAGGCAGTGAGATACTCCAAATGGCCGGCACGCGACCGAGGCGGATGGCGGATGGATGGATGGTCATTGATACGAGCATTGGGACCGGCGTTGGGGCGAGGAACTGCGCAACGAGCCAGATGAGGCTCTGGTTGAACGAAACATGTCATGCAAATACAGCTAGCTAATGAGACGGTCGTCGCTTGGTTGGCAGCACAGCGAGGGGCATTTGTTTCATCAATTTAGGGTGGCCTGTGACACTTTTGTGGCCATGGCACCCTGCATCTACCTCGGACAGTGGAACAAACAGCTGCGTCTGCCCAGCCAAAAATTAACTTGGAATCGCCAAACAAGCATAACAAGCTTGATTCGAATTTTCTTTCCTTTGTTCTCGTGGCGCGGGCAGGTTGCAGGCACCCGAAATGGGCGCCAGCACGTCCTTCGTAGCGCCAAGGGCTGGCGCATCACGATCGCGGAGCAAAGACCCCGCCGGCGACGGAACTCGGCAACGCGAGCCGGGGGTGCTGCCAAGATTTGGGGCCGGGAATGACGTTGAGCTGGGGGGGGGAACCGTGCCCGAAACTGGAAGGGAGCGCTCGTTCGGCGCACGAGACAACAACTGAGAGGACAGGGGGAGGGGGGCTTTTTCACGATCGGATGGATGGTTGGTTAGATGTTTGGTGCGTGTTGCTTGCTGCTGCTCACGAGCAGACGGCGATGGGTCGGGTCGGTTGACTGCCGATGCTGGACTCGGACTGCCTGCTGGGGCCTGGCCTGGCATGGCACCCTGGTTCCTGTTTCGTCCCACTGTTCAGTCTGTTCCATGGTTGGACTATCGTTGAGTGACGTCAGGTTGGACGATGCGCTGGCTGCGCTGGTGATGCGCGGCGGATGGATGCATCGACGGAGCGCTCATCGGCACTCGATGTGCCGTCCGTGGTAGGTATATAGCGAAGCGATCCTGGCCCGGTGTTGTGTAGCTGCATCGTTCGACCATCCACCCCGAACCCCATCGTCGCGATACCCACACCCAGCGTCGTCACTTACACAGGCCCCATCGCCCTCCGACACGACCATCATGGGCCTCTTCTCTCGCAAGACCCCGGCGACGGGGCACCATCACCACGCCGACGCTCCGGTAGACGGCGTCACGAACGGCCATGCTGCTGGTAGTAGCGGTCGGCGCTGGAACCGCAGCCGTCGCGAGCGCCGCGTCCACGAACCGTACTCGATGGCCCGGCGGCCAACGTTTGGGCAGTGGCTCAAGCACACGTGGCTCGACATCCTCACCATGGTCATCATGGGCGCCATCGGCCTCGGTGTATGCACTGCTTTCCCCTTGGCTTCTATCTCGTAACGTTCAAGCCCCACTAACGGATGAACTCTCCAGGTCTACGAGGCCAGGCCTGCGCCCTCGCGCTCCTTCGCCATCACCTTCTCCGACGGCGAGGTCGTGTACCCCGAGTTCGCGTACCCGATGCGCAAAGAGATCGTACCCATCTGGGCCGCCGCGCTGCTCGCCGCCTTGGTACCCATCGCCGTCATCCTGCTGATGCAGATCCGCGTGCGCTCCTTCTGGGACGTCAACAACGGCGTCATCGGCCTGCTCTACGGGCTCATCTGCGCCGCCGTCTTCCAGGTCTTCGTCAAGTGGCTCATCGGCGGCCTGCGCCCTCACTTCCTCGTCGTGTGCAAGCCCGACATCAGCAAGATTGCCAACTCGGCCGACAACCTCAGCTTCAAGGGCTTTCGCCAGCTGTACTTTGACCGCGAGGTGTGCACCGGCGATGAGAGTGAGATTAATGACAGTCTGGAGTCGATGCCCAGTGGGCATACGACGGCGGCGTTTGCGGGCTTCGTGTACCTGTATCTGTACCTCAACGCCAAGCTCAAGGTCTTTTCCGACTACCACCCAGCGATGTGGAAGCTCGTGGCTATATATGCGCCGATCTTGGGCGCGGTGCTCATCGGCGGCGCGCTGACTATTGACGAGTACCACAACTGGTATGACATCCTGGCGGGTGCCGTCATTGGGACTGTCTTTGCCTTTTCGGCGTACCGCATGACGTACGCTGCTGTCTGGGACTGGCGCTTTAACCATATCCCGCTCAACCGTGGCGCAGGGTTCAGCTATGGAGGTGGTGCGGACGAGCTGGCAAATGCGGTGTTTACGCGCCGCGCGGGCTGGGGAGCTAGAGGAGGCATCGCTGGTGGTGCGCTGGGCGCTGAGAAGGGTTTCGGCGGACATAACCATCATCATCATCATGGCGCAGAGGGGACCGTCGCGGACGGGCCCCTGCACCACGACCGCCACCATAACCACGCGTCGCCTTCCATCCCGAGGAGGGCCGTCGGAGGCGGGCGACATCCCGACGAGATGGTTTAGTCCAACCTATAGGGGAGAGTTTTGGTCGCCAAAGCGTATACCTTGACGCACCTCACGACACACGCACGGTTGACACGACGACACACTGAGTGGATGACACGTCCAAGTTGCTTTGGTGTTTTTGGCGTTCGATGACCACGGGGAGGCTACACGACGGCGCAAGGCACATGGTAGCTAGGATGCAGCTTAATTCCTTATTCCTTAATCCTTGACCTTTTTGACACATGAGTGGCTTTCGCTTCGCGGCAACGTTGATTGTGCCTGGCTCCCCACTAACACACCCACTTACACGGCGATGCACAATGAAGAGAGTTTCGACTGGCCGTGCTGAGTGCAAACTCACCGCACTCGCTTCGCAACACGAAAAACTCACGGCGATGGCTGCGCCGCCCCCTCGAGTATTTATTCGATGCCTGCTGCCTGCCAGTCCCGGGAATCCCTCACCGTCAGAATCATCTTGTCTTGTCTCTGATCCCTCCGCAAGGCACGCCTCTGCACGCGCAACATCGAACTGCTTCATACCTGCACGTCAGTAATACCCTCGCCTTTTCCATCTAGAAGGTGCTAACCAGTGTGTGTTTAGCCTCTCAACATCGTCACCATGCGCAACACCGCTGTCATCGCCGCCGTCGCGGCCCTCGCCTCCGCCGTCATTGGCGCGCCCGCCATCCCCGCGACGCCCATCCCATCCCATAACCTTCCCTGCGACGACTGCTTCACTGTCGGCCCGAAACCCACCTTCATCTATCCCGCGCCGCCGTCGGCGCTGCCGTCGGAGGTGTACACACTGGACCGCCGCGGCTACCGCAATGACTTCAAGGGCCCCGGCTTCATGTGGCCGTACTGCTACGAGGTTACCCCGGCGGGGACTGCGGAGCCGACTGGCACCGCTGGAGCCGGCAGTGAGGATCTTCCTACAGCCGCCGGGGGTAAGCGCGTGCCCTGTTTCCCCGTTCCGCGTCCTCAGCCCGTTGTCACGCTGGTTTCGAACCAGTAAAGGGAATGAAGTGCTTGTGCGGGAGACTAACGTCAAGGCGCTCTGACGGACAATATTGGGATGACCGGAGTCGGTGGGATCGCACAGGGCGAGGAAGGCTTGCATGTGGAAAAGAACACAGTCTTGTACGCTTTAGGCTGAGGATACTCAAACAGCACAGGGATTGGAGGAACAACGTCGCAGCAATGACGACCTTTGCTTCGAGGTAATTGACGATACCGCTCTTTTGTCACCAAAGCGTTTCTGCCTTGCTCGGGTAGCCTCGCGATACATCCCCGTTGCTGTGGTATCTCACCACGTCTCTCAACCAATGCCACCAGACCCCTGTCTCTTGGCCCAGTGCCACACCCTCAAAGCACGTAGCGGAACGAAGTTTGCTCTTTATCCGTCTTGTCCAAAAATGCACTCATGTCAGCTTGATCGTCGGGATTGAACGCAGAGCTGATCTTGTCGCGGCGCCTATTCTCGCGCCAGAGATGGATGCTTCACCGTGTCGTCAGTTTCTCGGTCAACTTTCCCAGGGAGATGCTACAGCTAGAAGACTTACTACAAGCCAATGAGGATGACGACCATGAGGGCTGTGGATACGTAAAAAGCTCGGAAGCCCGTTGGGTACGACGGCTTCTCGTTGTCGCGGAAGAATTGAGGTGCGATGATTTGTCCTGTAGCGTAGCCGACAAATACCATGACCTATTTCTGTTACCACGCGGACTGCAAGAAGACGAGAGGGATTTGCCTTACGCTACATGTTGCCTTTTTCGTGAAGCCTCCGATCTAGAATAATCCGTTAGTTCATGTACTCCGACTAGGGTCACTGCCAACTGCTTGCACGTGGACTCACATTGGACGCAACCAGGCTCATCACCATTCCATAAGTGACAGTATTTACGTACATGACTCGGAATAGTCAGTATAGGCCACAAAGACTGAAGGCCGGAACTCACTATACAGGCCGGCCAGGCGGGTGTGGTTGTCTGTCTGGGCTAGCGGCAGCGTGTCAGCGCTCCCGAAGACGGCGTGAGATGACGTGGTGAACAGCGCGTGGACTTACTGCTGACGATGCATGCGCCAATAATTACGATAATGTTCGACACAATGCTCGTGATGATTCGCGTATTCGGTATGCGGAGTGTTATGATGCCACTGTTCACAGCGTCATGTCAGAACTCGACTCGTGCCGTTTTGGTCAGGGGCGGTCAAGTGCCCACGTAGCTACGACAGAGAACAGCTGGACTCCGTCGCCCCCGAAGCCCATCTTTGAGGATTCGTGTTCGTCGTAGCCCAAGCCCGTGAGCACGATTTTGTCAAACTGTTCGTACGTCAGCTGCCGCGCAGTCAATCGGGTGACATTGGGGTTCGCCTACGTTGGTCAATCCACTCCCCACGACGCATTGAAGCAATGCCAGCGACCAGAAGATCCATGGCTGGATGTCTGTAAGACACTCTTTGACCTGGTATAGCCGATAGTTGCGATTCTCGATACCCGTGTGGTTCTTGATGACCTGCGGCCGAGTCAGCTCAATCGCTTCGACAGGTTTCGTGAGGTGCGAGCGTCGTCGCAAGCTTACCCTCATAACGGCCACTTTCCTCTCCCGCTCTGTGAGAAACCAGGCCTTCATGGGAGACGCTGGGAGGATGAAGAAAAGCAGCAAGCCCCAGGCGATACTGATGGGCCCGAAGATAAGGAACAAGACCTGTGGCGACATCAGCACTGCTTTCATGTCAGAACCTGGCGCACCAGCATACGTACCTGCCATTCAGCATACTTGGATCCCAGTGAACTCGAACCGGAAACTGCGTAAGCAATGCCATCGAGCGTGAATCCGCCCAGCGGTCCCCCAGCCCACCAAATGCACGCTCGCAGGGGCTGCTCCCTCCGAGTCCAGTACTGGCCAACCAGCATCGTGAGGACAGGGTGCAAGCAGCTCTCAAACACGCCCAGGAAAAACCTGGCCGTAGCAAGGGACGCGAAACTATGGGTTGTTGCCATGCAGGTCGTCGTGACACCCTGCGGCTGTTAGCGTTCCTGTGTGTCCCTCAACGGATGAGCAGGGGCAGCGCACCCAGAGCGCAACCATGCCGCCAAAATACCGACCGATTGGCAATTTCTGCATTAAGATCGAGCTCGGATATTGCGCAATCAGATAGCCAAAGTAAAATATCCCTGATACCCAGCTGTATTGCTGGCCATGTAGATGCTGTCCGACGTCAGGTCACACGCCAATGTTATACACGTCTGAAGTGGGCAAGACTTACATTGTCGGTTCGGAGGCCCAGGATGGACGCGTTTGACAGCGCGACTTTGTCAATGAAACACAAAAAGTACGACATGGTCATCTAAAGCATGCCACTTTGAGCTTCCCAACCGATGCCGCGCTTGATCATTTGGCTAACATACCATCGCAAGCATAGACAGGTCCAACTTCCATCGGACTCTGGTCGCTTCCTCTTCAGTGTACTCGAAAGCGAAGGTGTCCCCCGCGAAGAGTTCTGCCGAATCATCATGCTGCTGGTTGTGGAGCTGCTTTTCCTTCAGGTCGTCTGCTACCAGCGTGTCTGGCTCCGGGGCCTGATGAGAAACCCGGTCCTGCTGCACGTCGTCTTGATGCATCGTTCACGCTTCGCCGAGGAGATGGCGAGGGAAATTATGCCGAATATACCGCCAAATGACCCCTTCTCACAGGCACGATAGTCCATCTCACGGATATTTATGCGTCTCAAATGGACATCTCCTTTGATCGGCGCTCCATATCTTGTGGTGCCACAGGTCGGGGAAACACCCCGCACGACGTCGATAACTGCTCTAAAACCGGTTAGGCCGCTGGGAGTCATGTGTGTCGCGACCTTGTCCCACCAACCTGATCGCCAACTTGTCCGATTTGGGTCGGATTGGCGACGGGTTTCCATCATTGGAGGCATTGACCAATTGTGCTTTGGCTTCTTGGTTGCACCTCTCAAGTGAGCTCTGCGTCAGCTACCTCGGGCGGAGCGCTTGTGGATTCACTCGTCCCAATGTTCAAAAAGCAGATAAGGCGCCTTGTGAAGCCCGACAGGATGTGCCCAACTAACGGCGACTCATTTCCGGCTTACACGGTCGCAAGCCTTCAATATGTGCCCGCCAACGCCATCTCCCGATCGCCCACCTTATCAGCATGTTGTGACGAGTGGCCTGCCATACGAGCGAGGGTTTAGCCATGGACAACAGGCAAAACTAAAGGTCCAGGCAAATGTCGAGTACTATCGCATACCAGGGAAATTGTCCCACTCAATGTAATACCTGTACCGACGTTCAACTTGAAGTGTATATAACTGACTTACATGACAGGGAGTTGATGAACACCATCATTCACCAGGTCTACATTCCGGCTTTGAAGTCATACTACCCCAGTGGATATGACGAAATGAGAGGTATAGCTGATGGGGCGGATGTGAGCCTGGAAGACATTGTGCTGCTCAATTCCCGCTACGATCTCGCCAGGCTTGGGGACGATGGCGCGACAAGGCCCGTCAATGGTCACCATCAACACGACCCTGAGGGTGCGGAAGAGACGGCAAACGAGTGCACCTCCGCATTCTTTCCGCAGGAGTCCACAGCCAACAACGATGTTCTAGTTGCTCAGAACTGGGACATGTCTTCACGACTGTGGGAGAACGACTGCGTCATCTACCTCGAGGTGCATCCTGACCCCTCCGAGAACAAGCCATCACTGTTCATGGCGACCGAAGCTGGCCAGCTCGGTCGATCTGGTATGAGCTCAGCCGGTATAGGTGTCGCGGCGAACTCGTTGATGAGCTCGGAAGATTATGTTCCAGTGCCATACGTGGACGCCCGTGGCCAACTACACGACCGCCAAGTCCAAAAGATCTTGCCAATCAGCATGTTGCGACGGATGATCCTGGAGAGCAACCACCTTGCCGAGGCACTGACCGCCGCGTACAACTTCCCACGCCACGTCTCCAACAACTTGACGATTGGCACCGCTGAAGGCTTCGGCCTTTGCCTGGAAGTTACACCGCAAACTATATTCAAGGTCTACAAGAGCAACAGGGATAACTACCTTGTTCACGGGAATCACTTTGTCCACCCAGGCTTCCTAAGTCGCAGTGGGCTTAGCTGCAAGTATCCGGGCGGTAGCAGCTGGTTTCGGCAACGGAGACTCGAAGCCCTCGTTCAGACGTCTGCGCAAGAAGGCACCATCACTCAAGACAGCATCATCGAGGCCCTGTCTGATCACCTCAGCTTCCCCGAAAGCTTGTGTGTTCACCCGGACCGGAACCCCATTGACGCAGTCATTCGACACCTGCCTGGGTATCCGTTTCGCGGCATCTCGGCCACCATAGCGTGCGTCATGTATAATCTGACCAAACGAGAGGTCACAGTATGTAGTGGCCCGCCGTGTCAGGGAACTTTCCAAACATTCCAGCTGCATGGGCCGTCGGGCAATCGACTGGGAGTGTCTGTCAAGGCAACGCAAAACGGCGTGCGCCCGGAGCGTCCATAGAAAAATCGAGTGCCGTAGGTTCGCCAGTGCAATAGATAGATCAGACCGCCGACATCCCAGAAATTCCTCACGGTGAGGCAAATGACTAAAAGATGTGTGATTGTCCATAAGTAATGCTTCCCCAACTGACGACACCCCTGGCTTCTTCCATAGCTCTCCGCCATTATCCCAGTACCCCTGCGCAGCTAGTGCTCTGGGGGGCCCAAAACATCCACGCTTGTTGGTTGCCCGATGCCGGACTGATCGTCCTCCGTTGGAGCAACCCCTCCAATCTCTCTCCTTCGTCCAACAACAACGGTCACCACACCTTGCGGGGCCACGCCCAGTCGTCGACATCACGCTTCGTGTGTACCATCTCTCCCTACAATGTCTGGCATTGTTCGTGTCGCAAACTCTTGAGCGGATATGCCCCCACTGCGTAGCTCCGCAGCGATACGCAAGCGCTCGTCTTGCACCAGGACAGTGACAGGATGCCTGACTTGTCGCCAGCGACGCGTCAAATGCGACGGGGCTGCTGCTCCCTGCGCCAACTGCCGTCGCCTGAGTATCAAGTGCATTCCTTCATTCAGCTCGAATTTTCGTACCTGGGCAACTTCCTCCCACGATGCGCCGAGCTCTCCAACCCTCCAGCCGCCCGAAGCCCCCATCCCTCACAGCCTTTGCGCACCCGACGCGCCGTTCGAGATCTGCGCAGGCACGGAAAAGGATCCCGTAGGAGGAGGAACCGTGGATGGACACCCTTCAGCTATTTTGAGCGGGGAAGAATGGTCAATGACAACCGATGGTCTGGAAGGCCCGCTCTGCTCGACTCCCAGCCCTTGCTGTGCGAGCTCGGTGCGTGTCGATGGCGACGAACTGGACATGCTTTGTGGCATTGGACTCACAACAAAAAATATTCAGCCTCTCCACAACACTATTGAAGAGTATGATGCCATTCTTCAGATGCGAAACGGACTTATTGAGTTTCCTTTCGTCGGCTGCTCGGACAGTGCCGCGGGTCAGCATACCACGCCTCCCTCCTCTCTGTCAATTAGCGACTTTCGGGACAGGGATCGACTCGCGGAACATTACAACGGGCACCTCATCGGGTTCCTCAGCGTGAAAACGACCACATGGAACTTTTATTCCTACATTCTCCAGAAGGTGCAAAAGGGTCCAGATTCGACACTCAAACATGGCGTTCTCGCTTGGGCCGAGTCTCACAGATCTTGGTCCCGACGACCGGCGGCGGCATGCCCTGGTCCCCACTACCTCAAAGCCGATGCGTGTTTGAGACAACTCCAGGAAGAGCTCGCAGGCCTGCCGACCGATATGATGTCTGGCTATAGCGTTCTGGACAAGCTCAACTCACTGCTCGCAACGTCACTTTTCCTCTCCCATTGCGACGTGATGTACGGAGACCACGAGTCACTGATCAGCAGACTGGATAGTCTCAAACGGTACTTGACGCCAAGATGGCATTCTCTGATGGAGATTGCCACAGGTGTGCAGCTACGAGTACTCATCTGGCTGGCATATCTGGACTTGCGAGCGACTTTATGGACCGTACCGTCCGCCTCTTCGCAGCCAACGGACTACGCTCCGCGGGACCGAGTCGGTGACTTGTTCGATCTGCTCAGGGGCAGCCGAACGGATGACTCTGTGAGGCAACTAAAAGACAGCAAGTACTACTTGGTTGAATGCTTCGGCTCTATATACCCGGAGCAAGAATTGC